CAGTCTTCTCTCCCCCGTGTCTGTTTCACTCCCTTCCAGATTCTACCATCTGCATAGGGTCCTGATTGACGCTTTGTGACCAGGAGAAATTAAGCTCATCATTTTATAAATCTTTAAGCTTGAACAGCATCTTCAAAACTTGAAGTTACTTGTGTTACATGAGCAACACATGTGACATATTGTAAAAGCCAAACCCCCAAATTTACAAATTCAGCTCATTGTTAAATGTTGCTTTCCATATATCCATGTAGTTTAAAAGAACATTTTTTATACTATAAAAACAACACTATAAGGGATTAACTAGTATCTGAAAACAACGCTAAAAGAAGAAAAAATATATAAATAGAAATGTGTACAACTATTAGAAATATCTAAGACTTTTGTGCAGCAGCGTAATATTTTAAAGAGGATATATACTAAAATAGTGAGACTGGGAAGTTGTATTTCTACAGGTATGTCTTAATTGCAACAGTCCTCCTGCTCTCTTCGGGAGGTCTTTGTGAACTACTTCACAGCTGCTACTACTTCTCTCCAGCCAGTTTCTGCGCTTCTGTCTTGTTTTAATTTATTCCTGTAATAATTCGCTTTAAAATCCCTTTAAAAATGTAAGCTGTGTATGTTTTAATTAAGATTTACCTAGCACATCTGTAGTGCCTTTCTGAAATAAGCCAGGTGCTCTGCAAGCTGCATACAGAACCAAGCAATTGCAAGGATTTTCCTTTCTGGAACAGGAAACAACAGGCTACTTTGTAATCCTCTTCAATAAAAGAAAGGTCATAAATGAGCAGAATCCAGTCTGTCCACTCTTGTTTGCCAGTTTACAGCTATGAATCCAGACATATTTTTACTAAAGCTATTTATTTTTCCTTAGTGCTTCATTATTAGAAGAGTATTTTATGTTCTAAATCCTAATTTGTCCTTTAGATTAGTTTCACTGAAGTGGCCTGATTAGCATCTTAAATATTGCAGACAGACAACTGGGTCAGAGAGCCATTTGAAAACAGCGATTTCTGTTATTTATTATCCTTGGTCAAGATAACTAAAGACTAATATGCATCACAGAATGCCTAACCTTGAAAGTGCAGTAGAAGTCACAGAAGCTTATTCTCTTGCACACTGAGAATCGATCACACAGAATTCCTTATTTAAACTGCTTATTTCTCAAACTGGAAATGAAAAAATATGATGGGAGAGATCCAGATGATCCCTTATTGTGGAATAGGACACAAGTGCAGCAACATTTAGCAGAGAATGGACTACCAGGATGCCCAAGCATACTGGTGATGCTGTACTTAAGCACAACCCTGTGCCACCTTCTTGTCATGTAGTAATGAATATTCTATCATAATGTTCTAAAAAATAATAATTGCTGGACACTCCACTCTTATTCTTCCCATTACTGTTATCATACTACTAGAGGCAAGAGTAACACCAACGAATAATGAAGCAAAAGAAACGGAATATGGAGAGAATGAAGAAAGAAAGAAATAAAGAAAAAACTCAGTGTAACAGAGAGCTACCCGGAGCTATAAGAAGGTTGTTAGGTATCGCAGCTCTCCTGAGACCATACCAACCCAGATTAAAAATCCCAGGGCGTTTCTCGAAAAGAGTAGGGGTGTAACCCCGGCGTCCTGGCCAAATTTCCCATTGGCCTTTACCAATCATGGCCTCCTAATAATCCCCTATCTATGAATTGGCTTCATTACTCTGCTCTCCTCCCCGCTGATAGCTGATGTGTGGTGAGCGTTCTGGTGCACTATGGCTGTCGTCACATCATCCAGGTGGATGCTGCACATTGGTGGTGGTGGAGGGGAGTCCCCATTACCTGTAAAGCGCTTTGAGTGGAGTGTCCAGAAAAGCGCTACTGTATATAAGTGTAAGCAATTAATTAATTATAAAAAATGTAATCATGCAAATAAATTTAAATGGGCCTATTTTAATGGCATTTATGGATTTTCAGTGGATTTCTAAATATTTTTGGCACAGATACAGTATATAAATCTTGCATTGAGAATCAAACCCTAAAGGTGTGTGCAATTGTGTCCTGCTTTCTCAGGTCTGGGACCCACCATGTGAATCACAGTCCTTCTCAGAAAGATGCTTCTCTGAGAAATTCATCTGTGATCTGATGGGAGGGGGGTCTGTCTGAATGTAATGAACTCAGGAGGTGAACTTATTGGCTACTACTCAGAGGCAAAAGGAGCCATACAGCCTGACAATTGTTTAAAAATGTCTGGACTGGAGACTCTTAGATGACAGACTGTGACACCCTCCATCATTAACCTTCATTTTTATGTGATAAGAGCTCCAAATCCACCTGACTCAATGAATATAAACTTACCCTTGTGTTTTAAGAATATAAGTTATTGCCAGTGAAATGACTGCTACATTATATCCTATTATATCGTACATTATATTCCTGTTGCTACATATTTTATGTTTATCAAATCCCATGTGCATCCCATTTGTAATCATTGAGACACAAGAAAAAAAAGGTAATTAAAGTTGACATCTTTGGCCCAGCACAATTTTAAGCATTGCTTTAAGGCAAGGGTGGGCAAATGTAATTCTGGAATAAACGTAGTTTAGGTTAAAAAATTCATCCCATCTAGTCAATTAGGTCGGTAATTCATCTAAGGATCTCAACCAGGATGCTCGAGGATTCTTAAAAGAAACCCGGGACCAGGATTGACTATCTCTGCTTTAGGTATTCAGACTCAGGCATGCAGCTCTTCGCCACGTTCTTGACAACTAACAAACTACATGGACTAAATGGCCTCCTTTTCTGTGTAATGAAAGTCATTCTTTCACCCCCATAACATTCTTTACTTTTTTCATTTTTAGACTGCAACAACATTTTAAATTCAATATACAAAGTAAATCGCTGTGATCCATTTTTTTGCACAAAATGAATTCTGAACTAACTTTCATTAATATAGTTTGAAAATACCTAGTTCAGGTGGGTAGCTGCGTCAGCATGCATAGGCTGCAAAGGAACAAGTAATAGGTTTATTCCATGCTGAGAAGAGAAGAGAAGAGAAGAGAAGAAAGCACAACATTTTGGCCGTGGAGCCTTCTTCAGGTGTGAGCTGAAGATACCTATGCAGGTACTGTCGCAGACTACATTATGTAGGAATTTTTCTGGTCTAACACAGGTTATCAGATCCCCCAGAACCATCGGCACACTCAAGAACAACATAAGACGTACTGTAGGTGCAATAACTGTAATTGTATTCTTCCAGATACTAATTATTACAATAATGTATCACGATGTACTACTAAAAAGTGTCCACAAAGGGCACGCACACAAAAGCAACTAATAGCATATTCCACAGTAACCAGAAGAGCAAAGACAGTGCTCTTTACAGACCTCACAGACCTTGTCTCTGTTCATTACATTCCAAAATAAAAGCCAACAAGTCATCCTCAAATCAAAATCTGCACTGTCACCCCCTGTACTCCCCATGAAGAATTACATGGTTCAGTTCGCTCAACCAGGCATGCTTACTTCCACAATCCTGAAGAAGGAAAAACCCTTCCAGTCTTTAAGTTGTCTCTGGCATCCACAGTCACACACAATTTTTTTTTCTTTTATGTCCCCTGCACCTTTGTTGTCATGTGCAGCATAAACAGGGCAGAGGAGGAGAGAGCACCCTTTACTGGCTGAGCTGATCCACTCTCCAGACTCTCCAGTGACACACTAAAACACCAGATCTTGAATGAGTGGGAGGCATGTCCAGAAGATCACAAAAGTAGTACGTCATACACTGCTGGGGGCTACTTGTTTGAATTGCCAGGTGTGACAGTGAACTGTCCCTCTGTTCCAGGCCTGGTCTCAGCCTGCTCAGGACCCTCACACAACCTAATATGTGGCCCCTGACTGTGTGGTAATTGATGAGTGTCTAGGCAAAGTGTGTCACTCGATCTCCACAACTGCCTCTTTTCTTCTCATCATTAAAAAAACCTTAACCTGTTCCTCTCGATCTGTGATGACTGCCAACAAAAGCACTGGCTGTTATATACATAACTCAAGTAAAGATAGCTCCCTACTGCCACTTCTGTCATTTCGTGTCCATTGCAGAATTCCACGTTTAGCAGATACCAGTGCACGTCTTGCACTGGGATAGGGACCATTTTTGCATTCCATACATATCGTTGAGACGTACTGGAAATAGGAACAGCCAGCATTGCATAGCATATCTACTTTAGATTAAGATTTGAAGACCTTGAAGCCAAATTGGCCGTTTTTAGCATTCCAGCCCCTTGGCATTAATAGGAAAAAGAGAGCACAGACTAATACGGGCGTTGCGCCCTTTCTTTGATCGTTCTGCAAATAAAGATTAGCGAGAATAATTCACCGATATAAATTGAGAGATTTTCAAGGAAATTGGTTAAAAAGTGAAATAAACAAAAAATGAAAATGCCCTTTTCTGGTTGGTTATTATTATTATTTTTTTGAACGCATGAAAAGAAAATACAGTAAAGGAAGTATCGGCGAACCACAGATCGCAATGTTCTACGAATCCTCTATATTCCCGTTAAGCTCCTGTCGATCCTAAATGTGATAGCTTTCGGTTTTTATATTTATTTTATGAATGACACACATAATATAATCCAAAAGCCATATTTTCCATCTTCCTATTCTAAATGACCAATTCCTATCACAACTCGGTCAGATGCACATTCAATATTCAAGTGAAAATTTACTGAAGTACTGAGAGAGGACATGAAAAACAAGCGAAGAAAAAAAAGAAAGAAACTACTGTTTACGGTCTTTTGTTTATTTCCTTTCAAAGTCTGTATAAAAAAACACTCGTCAGAAACAAAATATATCAAGCCATAGAGAAGATTATAACTTTATGATACCGGAAGTTCGTTTCCAGGGAACCTTGTATTTTGTTGCAAAGTTGTCGCAAGTTTCCACGTTCTATTTTCGGTCACATGACCCTGTCGTCCTCCAATCGGCGAACTCCGGGGCCTCGCTCTCAATTTCAAACACTGCGGTCCGCATCAGTTGAATGGTGTCTGAGTTTGTCTGGAGCTCTTGCTGGGTGGGTGGGTGGGGGAGATGGTTATGGTTTTGTGCTGAGTGCTTCCGATTAAGGCTGCTATCCCTATCGAATATTTAAGATGGATTTTCAGGAATCTCGCATCGTCACTCCAGGCCCTTACAGGGCTACGAAATTGGTAAGACCGATTAAAGAACAAAGATAAGACTGGTGTTGCCTTTCTGCACTACACGTTTGCACCCTATTAACAACGACATTTGTTGTGTTTTTCACTTTTGTATTTCTTTTTTAAAGCACGCCCTGTGTAATGGGGCTAATTACGCGGTGAAATTACTCTGCATAGTATCTTGTATTGTGGGAAGAGTTGTTTAGATAACGAAAATTACAGTATTCTAACGGGTTTAGGGTGGATAGCTGAGCTAGTCTTCCGAAGTTCCTGTAAAGGCTGATAATAATCTCGCTCAGAGACAACAGACTCCTACTGTACTGCGGGGATTTAAATCTAGTACTCAATATGCTGTTTTTGTTTTTGTTTTCGGTGTTGTTCTATATGTTTTTAATGTTGTACATAACCGAATTTATTATTCAATTTATTTGCGGTTTATGCAGTAATACGAGTCATATTTGTACGCTTTTCAATAGTTGTTCTGTAATTTTATCAGTGGTATCCGCTTACTGTAGCTGTTGTTCACTGTGTGGGGTATTTTCAAATTTTCGACTTTTAAATGCATGCGTCCTTTCTTGGTCCCTGTAAACGGAATAAACGGAAATTGTGTTTCATGTCTTTCAAGACCGTTTGTTTGGAAGGAGATGCATTGAATTTCAGAAATCTTTACAGCTTTTTAAGATGTTCACATAACATGAAGAACTTTCTGCACGCATTTGTGTCACGGCTCTGTTAGCATCTTTCCCCTGCTGTTATGGTGTTGAAGTGGTCAGTAATGCTCTTCTGTTTAACCTTCCATGAAAACGGTGGTGTAATGGTGTTAAAAGGCGAGAACAGGGAGAGGAATCTTAGAAATTCAGGAATTTGAAGGTAGCTGCCATAATTTAAATGTAACCATCGCTTTTTCTCTTTACAGTGGAATGAGGTCACAAAGCTTTTCAGAGCGGGGATGCCTTTGAAAAAGCACCGCCAGCATTTCAGAGTGCATGGAAACTGTTTCACTGCAGCAGCAGCTGTGGACTGGTTACACGAGCTCCTCCGAAACAATAGCAATTTTGGCCCGGAGGTAACCAGGCAACAGACCGTCCAGCTGCTCAGGAAGTTCCTAAAGAACCATGTGATCGAAGATGTCAAGGGGAGATGGGGATCAGAAGACCTGGAGGACAACAGTCAGCTCTTCAGGTATGTGCTCAATTTCAGACTCTTCAAGAACTGCAGAAGCCTGTAGTCCGAAGTTTGCTACACAATGTATATGTTTGGGATGGCCTGGTAGTGCAATGGTAGGCAAGTATTCAGTTATTTTATTTTAAATCATTTGTTTTATTGGGTTATTATTCTGTAAAATTAATAACAACAGAGAACTATTAATTTTAGGTAATATGCATCACCTATCTTTTTTTTACAAAAACAACCTATAACACTCATTCACATAAATTAATTAAGAAACCTAAGCATCTTAAAAAAAAAAAAATCTCAAATCACACTATATCCGAAACAACCTGGGTGCAGTCTGTCTCTGACCCCAGATCCCCTAGACCCACTGCAACCTGAAGACAAGACTTCCTTTTTCATCAGCTTCTCAGGACCTGGGGTGATTATTAATATGGAGTTTGTATGTTCTCCCCATGTTTTCTCCAGGTGCTTCAGTTTCTGCCCATAGTCCAGAAACATACTGGTAGGTCAATTGGCTACTGGAAAAACTGGCCCTAGTTTGGCATGTCTGTGTGTCTGCCCTGTGATGGACTGGCGTAGCGTCCAGGGTGTACCCTGCCTTGCACCAGTTGCTTGTTGGGATAGGCTCCAGCTCCCCCACAACCCTGAATTGGAACAAGTGATAAGAAAATGGGTGGATACATGTGTAAGTTAGTGAGGTTTTGATTTTATAGGACCTTAAACTCTTATTTTTCTGTAGTGAGATATATATTAAAATAGAAAGAGTAGGCGGAACTCGGATTTTAATGCTTTTCCTCTCAACTGAGGGTGTTACTCAAATTAAAAATCCCCTGCAGCTTTTTTATGTTCCTGGAGATTCTTAGCACAGTGGGGCTACTGCAGAGCTCCGTATTGTATGAGTTGATACATATTGCCTGCCCCAATTCGGGAGGGTTTGTTTTCAGCTCTGTTTCGCAGCTTCTGAGATCCTTTTATAGTCTGGTGAAGAGAAATCTGAACCTAACTGTCCTTTGTCCTAAAAAATCGAGAATTTAAATGTAGAGGAGATAATGGTTTTCACCCTCCTCATGTAATTGAAAAGGGCTTTCACGTGTTAATAGGTTTTCTTAAATGGCCTGAATTTGTGTCTAACTGGTGAGCAGCTGTTATTTGGCATATGGTAGCAATTTGACACATCCTGTTGTTTGGATTCAGAAAAGCCTTTTTTCTTTTCTTTGAATTTGACAGCATAGGTTTTTGCTTGGATATTTATGTATTACAGTCCCATTGTCAGATTCATGTTGCTTGTCTACACGCTGTGCCTCAGTGTAGATGGAACACCTAGAGATCATGTTGGTGATAAAAAAAAAATATCTTATTCATAAAGCATCTTTCCAAACCCAAGGACGCTTTACATTGTGAATAAAGTACAATAAAAGAAGAAGAGAAAGCATACAGGTTTTTACAAATTGACTGAAGGGAATTAGACATAGCCCTTGGTAAAAAGGCAAGATTTCAATTTGGATTTGAAGAGTTACAGAAGGTATCTCTCGTCAAGTCTGAAGACGGTCACTTCACAACACTGGAGCAGCGACGGAGGAGGCACTGTCATGAACAGTCCATGATTTAGTCCTGGTGACAGTGAGCAGAGCACCAGCCTCGGCTGAATGGAGCCTACAGGGGGAAGTGTAAACATGGAGAAATTCAGAAATGTACGTGGAGCCGGATTGTTCAGAGCCTTGAAAGTCAGCAACAAGATCTTGTATTGACTACGTGACTTTATAGACAACCAGTGTCGAGACTTAAGTTTGGGAGTGACATGCTGCCAAGGTCTAGCGTGAGTAAGTAGTCTAGCTACAGGGTTTTGAACATATTGGAACTTGTTGAGAGGAGAGGTAGGGAGCCTTGATGTTATAAATGCATGAATCGGACATTGATAAAAAAAAACGTTTTAGATATGTTTTTTTGTTTCATTTTATCCCACAGTTTTTGCAGATACAAGTAATAAGCAGAGTTTACAATTAAGAAACTAAGTGCACGGTCACTAACGTTTAGTCACCTCAGCCTTTTAACTAATCTCAAAGTGTTTTTTTAACATGAATGTGTTAGCTTTGCAGTTCATAGATAGGCAATGATTGTTTTCTTCTGCAAATTTAGCACATTCATGATAAATAAAAAAGGTTTGAACTGCTGCAGCTTTGTGCAAATGTTCCAGCAAATAAACAGTTTGGTGGGGTTGTTTAATTTGAATCATGAGACAAGTCATTTATAATTATTTGTGCAGTATAAGACAGAGACCAACTATAAATCAAGGGCAAATATTTTAGATCACTGTTTTTTTTTAATTCATCCCATTTGTGTATGTGGAGGGAGGGTTGCAGAAAAAAAAAATCCTTTAGCTTGTAAAGCTTGTTGCAATTTAACCATTTTATTCCAGATATGCCAAAGCAAAATCCTGATCAGGGAGACATAGACACAGCTTAGAGAATATGATGTTAAGATAAAAGCAGAGATGGTAAAGATGCATTGAAAAAGGTTTAGGCTGGTGAAAAGATGTTTTCCTTAACAATAGTGCCAGAAACCAGAAGCTGTTTATACCAAAGGGCTTTGATTGAATGAGTCTTTACTGTAATTCATTGGTCATGCCAATAAAACCCTTTGAATTTGAGTCAATATTTTCTGTTTGGTTAAGAAGGGAGTGGGAGATCTAAAGAGTAGTGTTTGTAGTCGCAGTTGGAGATAAAGGGCAGAGTGGTGGCTCTGTGGCTAAGGATCTGCACCTGTGGCTGGAAGGTTGCCGGTTCATATCCCGTGGCCGGCAGAGAAATCTTACTCCATTGGGCCCCTGAGCAAGGCCCTTAACCCTAACTGCTCCAGGGGTGCCGTATAAATGGCTGACCCTGCACTCTGACCCCAAGCTTCTCTCTCCCCATCTGTGTGCCTGTGTGTCTCATGGAGAGCAAGCAGGGGTATGCGAAAAGACAAATTCCTAATGCAAGAAATTGTATATGGCCAATAAAGTGATTTTATCTAAAGGATTGACAACAGTGTGGCTCTGCGTTGTCTCCCTCTATGGCACGGTAGAGGTACCTCGGGTTCTGTGCTTGTCTGCAAGTATTTCCACCTAGAATGCCAGCATTCTTATTGATAATCTTGGACAGCCAGGTAGATCTGTAGAAATAAAGTAATCTGTGTAGCTGGAGCCTTGAATTTAAAAAAAGTGCAGATGTCTTTAGTGTGATTTGTTCCTTCCAATTGTTTGTGTGCTTATACTCTAGCTGTGTTTCTCTTCAGTGCAGTATTGCTACCTGCCTACTTTACTATCTGATTCCGTGACTGTGCATAAAATATCAGCAACATTTTTTTTTAAATGGAGGCATATATTTGTCCTGCTCTTTAGTTTCTTTTACAGTACATTAATAACCCAGTAGTTGACTGATAGCGATATTATATCCAATCTAATTTAGAATATTGCCTCATATAATGAAAGAAATGAAACGTCGATTCGTCAGCAGATTTCCAAAGACTTTTTCCAGAGAATTTACTCTGAAAGGCTTTGTGACCATAATCTATGATTCACAATATAATGCATTTAATTTAAACTTTAATTTCATTCAACAATACAAATCCATATTCTAATATTTTGAACTGGAGAAACACAGCAGAGAACATTTTGGGCAATGAAGAAAATGGGTAGGTGATGTACTATAAACTGCATGGAATCTTGTATTTTCTGCCCATTTTTTTCATTCACCAGCTAAGTATTGTTTTGAAATGTATTTCTTCTTTGAATTGTTCTAAGGTTTCCCCCAACATCTCCTTTGAAGACTATTCCATATCGTCCTTCATTTATGAGAAAGAAAGCAGCAAGTGTGTCAATCAAGGAAAGAGAGAGCTTTTTTAAGTTCTCCAATTTTTATCGACGAAGTTCTAAGAAATTTGATGAAACACAGGTAAGAATTTCATGTTGTCCTATATATTTGCTGTAACATATGAGCTTAAAATCACTTTGAATAAAGGAATGAAGGGCATGTTTGATGCATTTTACCATTCCAAAAGATCGCTGGAATTGGTCACGTTCTAGTAATAGTAAAGATATCCAAGCATGGTTTTAGAGAGCGCAGCTAATGTCATTATCCTTTTCAAAATCGTATGCAAGAAACAATCTCTGTATTTTCTAGGAAAATATTGATCCCTTAAACAAAGAAGAGCTCACCGATGTTCCAGAAAGTGTACAGATTCATAGCCGGGAGATAACACAAGAAGACATTCATGAAGTTTGGAGGAATATTACTCTAACACAGTAAGTTTTAAGAGACATATCTATGGACTCTGGACCTATTTATGGACATATCATTTTTAGGTGAGATTGACCTTTTGTTTTTAGTTTGCAGAAATCATTGGGCTTGACTTCACTGGAAGATGTGTTGGATCCAGCGCAAGTCAATCCAGGACACATTGTCTACAACATGACTAATGTCAACAAGCACGGAGTGGTCACATTGCAAGACAAGACAGGTATTGTTTTTTTTATTTTTTCAGCAAACCAGATTGATATAGTTTGTATTCTACTTATTTTGTAGGCATTAAATGGATTAGGTCTGCAATAATTCTGGGTGAAGACAATTCACACTGTGCCATTTACATTAGACTGACTTTGCTTTAATGACATGGGGTAAATATCGCTCAAAATCATCATAAAGTAAGACTAGTTAAGATCAAAATATTAAAAAGATAAAAACTTGTTTTTGTCAGATGTACTGGAAAATCATGTAAGAATATTTTGTTGAATTCAAGTAAAGTTTTAGTAATCCATGTTTCCAACTTTCTAGTGGATGTTATCGGCTGATATGTTGCAAAAGAAAAATATTATACAATTGAAATCACTGTGCTGTTGAACAAGGTGATGTTTGTTAACAAGGTGTTTAAACAAAGGAATACAAAGCTGTTTGTAATTCATTCATGTTTTTATTATATTAGTTGGGTTGTTTCTTTGAGTGTGTATTGGCCTTTATAATATTTATTTATCCTGAATGCATTTCCCATTATTATTCCAGGACAATTAAAGACCATTCCAAAAATCATTTGAACTCAATGTTGATTACTCTGTTTTTAGGGGACCTGCCCCACTGGGTTTTGTCTGCTATGAAGTGCTTGGCAAACTGTAAGTAAATAATACAGCCTTTAATTCTTTTTTTTTATGTTTAAAATTGTATATTCATGTTAGATTTTAAATCTTGCTGATCAGATATTCTTATGAATTCTTTATACCTTTCATTTATTTTTTTATTGAATGTTTAAACAGGTTTATTGAGATCTCTATTTAAGCATATAAATTAGTACAAGATTTGTCTTGTACTGACTCTTGTACAGTTCTTGGATAGTCACAATCCTGGAGATGTTATGTGTTACTCTTAAGCAAGTTCTGAGCACTTGGAACAACTTAATTTTTATCATGTAAATTGGTATTGAGCTTATCCCTTACATTTATTCATCTAAATGGATTAGAGGTGATCTCAAAATACCATCATATTGTATCTCTTTAGAACCAAGTTAGCCTTTTTTAACTCAAGCCAGCTGACATAAATAGATCAAAATTCAAGATTTTCCAAGATTTTGCAAATTGATTTAAGGGTAATGTGTTACTAACCAGCCCATCAGTCTAAGATTCTGTTCTCTGTTCTCCTTAATCTCCTTACTCAACATGAGTAAATGCAGTGTAGGCTTTTTCTCCATTACAGATGCATCAGATTAAGCAGTGCTATGGTCTCTTGAAAAAGCAAAGCATTACTGTGCTTATTCTTACTTCTCCCCTGTCTCAAAATATAGTCTTGGAAAGGCAGCTGAAAACTTGTCTTTGTCTACCACTGCGATTGAATGATTTTTTCCCCTTATCCTCCTTCATTTAAAGGGCCAAAGTATGACTCCAGCCAGCCATCCTACCCTGGGTTTGAGAGGGATGTTTTTAAAACGGTTTCAGATTATTTTATAAATCTTCCTCAGCCACTCCTGACATTTGAATACTATGAATTATTTGTGAACATTTTAGGTACGTATTTGTTTTAAATATTTTGTAGTTAGTCCACATGTAAAATAGCACTACTGGGAACTCAAGGGGTTTCCTGTAAATCAGTATTTGCTTTATCATAGGTTGAATGTGTCGACACTGTTTAAAAATGTATAGTATGTGGGGATAATTATGCTGGGGCTCACCTATATTATATCTCTTACCTAAACCAGTTTTAGAGAGACCACAGCAAGGGAGCTTTTTATTTATCAATCAAAACACCACTGTTTACCACTTCAGCCAAGGACAAATCAATTTTACATTTTAGTGGTGTGCTTGGAAATTACCTCAGAAGAGATGTTCTTTTTTGGAAATTAAAAGAACGCAAAACCCATCAGAAATACAGAGGAGAATAGAATACTCATTCATCTTCTCTAATGAAAAATTTGAGCCAGAACTGTTGCAGAAAACTAATGTTGCAAGATCTGAGAAGCAATTGTATTTCATGCACTTGAAGTGTAATACTTGAATATTAACTTAAACGCATGTTTTCAATGGAGAAATGGACATCACTATTATCCTGTGGAATGTTACCTTTGATAACATGATATTTTGAATGTGTATTTGTGCTTTGCTTGTGTCCTTTACGGTCAAAGCTGTTTTTACTAACCCTGCTGAATGTGCAGTTTCCCCTCCCCCCAATGTATCCATCAGCCCAGCTTTACATTTGACTCACTTCAAAAGTCTTTTTTATTTTGTCTGATTTTCTGATAGTTTTGTGCGGCTACATCATGGTCCCAAAAACACAACGAGGGAAACGTAAAAGCCAAGAGGAACCCAACTATCCTCAGCCGGCCAAAACTCAGCATTTACATGATGCCAATCTGTTCAAGTCCACAGAGTGCCTCTTGCTAAGCTTAATCCGTAAGGGATCTTTAGAGGAAAGTGAATCACCAATGAAAGAGGTGTTCTCTTCTAATTTGGAGGCCAAACAACTCGCACAGCTAAAAGGCTGTGCAAAGAAAATACTGAAGTGCAACGAAGCTGACAGAAGATCCAGTGCCTGTGACATTATAGGAGGCAGTTGTCAGAACCTTGCGCAGTTTAAGAGTAGTGAAACCATGCCAGTCAAGTTTAGACCAAGGTGCTATTCTATGGAAGGAATTATGGATATTTCAGGTGATGCTGGCCCCAGACATCTCTTCAAATCGGAGGAAAGCCTGACATCTTGCAGCAGCAGTGGCAGTACTTTCAGTAGCTCATTGCGTAAAACTGGCTCTCCGTTTGACATTCATTCCAAAGCTCCACGGCAAGAACCTATTTACATATCGATCCCTTCATGTTCCACGAAAGAATTAAAAAAAGGTATTGAACTTTGTAGCAGCCAGTCAGCCAGCAATGAGGCGCCAATTCCCCTGGAAGTTCAGTCTATAAAAAGACGCCACATGAGTAGGTCTAACAGTGTTGGAAATTGTACTGGTCTTGGAAGCATCAAAGAGATATCTAGTAGTTATAGCATCAATGCTCCTGTGGCTGAAATTACAATGAAACCAGATTTCTCCTCCTGCATTGGGCTGAGAAGACCCAGCGTATTAAATTTGGTCGCCAAGAAAGATGGTCAGAAAAGTGCACATGTGAGCAGACGCTGCCAAAGCTCTATGGAACTCTGTGAAAAGCTGTCTTCTACCTCTGTGTCCACTTTTGCACGTCCCCCAAGCCCTGAGCAAAGTAAGCCTATGACTGCATGCAATTATTAGCATCTTGTATGTTGTACTCAATGCTTTGCTATTTAAAACTATTAAAGGAACTTTTCTGGAATATTTAATTAAATGAAGAGCCTGTTGTATAGAGATTTTATGTGTCATTTGAGTTTCCTGAGAGATCTGATTTGAAATCATACTGACCAGAAAGATTCCTTTAATTACCGTTTGTTCAGTATTTCAACTGTTTGCATGCTCTTTACAACTACAGCTGCTTTTCTGAACCTGTAAAGCAATTTCTGAGAATAGATTGCTTGCTCACATTCTTAAATATAAGAACTTCACTTCTGTACTTTTGGTCATTGATTAACAATCTCTAGTATAAACACTTTTTGTGAAACTGAATTCTAAATAAACTATTTTTTTCACAAATACTAAACTGTTTTTAGCCACATTGTATTTAAGGAATATTGAAGCATACCATGTGTAAAGGGTATTGATCCAAATATAATCGGATCTCTTGTTTCCAAGGCTTGCTGCAGCCCCAGCTGGAGAGGGTTGCAATAGAAGCCCTACAGCTGTGTACTCTTCTGCTGCCTCCAAGCAACCGGCGCCAACTTCAGCTGCTCATGCGCATGATCTCTCGAATGAGTCAGAATGTGGACATGCCACGTCTCCATGATGTGATAGGGACAAGGACATTGGTGAGAAATCACAGCTCTGGAGAGAACAATCCTTCATCTTATTTGTGCCATTTCCTTCCTTTGTGGCTATTGGTGAATTCCATAAGCAGCTCCTATTTTTGTCCCTATGGTTTGCAGCGATTTGATAGTGACTCCATAATCAAATCTCAACAATTTGGAAGCTGATTGTGGTTTAAAGGTTTCTAACATTTAGTTTCACTGCCCCCGGGCTGTATTGACACCTAAACCAAAATTAGTTTTTGATGCAGAAAGAGCCCTTTTCTTGCTCAGATGTTTGCTATTCTTCATGACCAAACATTTAATGTAATATTAAGTTCCCATTTTGGAGTATAATGTACTTTTGTCTCCCTATTTTTTTTTTTGCATTAGTGCTCCTTTAGAATTAGTTCAGGGAAGTGACAAGATGCATTTTAGGGATGAAAAGAGAATCCTACTCTGATAGCTAAAAAAGCTTACTCTTTTTTTTTTTTTAGGTCTGAACACTGTAGGTTTGGTTCAGATATTTGAATTTTAAAAGCACAAGTGAGTGGACACATATGGTACCTATGAGAGAGTGCACTGAAAACTGAGAAGAGGTACTTCCCTTTTGGAAGCTGACAGTCTTTTCCCAGCCATGTTGATGAAGCTAAGACCCTGGTTTCCTCTGTGAAACTAAATGGCATGAGGAGATCCTTGATTAATAAGCTACTACAGAAGAAACAAGCTAGATAGGTCTTTGAAAAAACAGTTGTACATTTAGGGTTATTTGCATTCTTTTTTCAGAAGTTTGGTTATGTTACTATATTAGTTTGCGGTCTGCACTAAGAGATTTGAGTTCTTTGGTCTAAGCACTAGGTGTCACTATTTCATTTCAGATGGTGCACACATTCTCCCGTTGTGTGCTGTGCTGCCAAGAAGAGGTAGACCTTGATGAGCTCCTGGCCACAAGACTGGTCTCCTTTTTAATGGATCATCACCAAGAGATTCTTCAAGTCCCAGGGTACCTGCTGAGTGCTGTTCAGGACCATATTGACTATATGCGAAAAGTTCAGGTAGGTCCCAGATCCATTTTTTAATCTTTGTTTAACATGAAAAGACTTATTTTTAGTACCAAATATTCTTGAACACATACCACTTGATCATAACCTGACTTGGAGGAAAAGAGTAGATATCGAAATAAGTTATGTTGCTGTAATACAGTTTAAACCAGTTATTTAGAATTGTGCCAGAATCAAATGTGACCAAACTGCTATTTTCTTTTATGCCCAGATAACATACCCAGGGGAAAGTGTCAGTGCCACTCTGCCAACCTACTCCTTCTGCAGGCAAATCACCTGCCAGGAGTTTGAAGAGCAGAAGCTATCCGTCTCACAGGCTGCTATTGCCGATCTGCTGGAAAGCCTCATCAAGGATAAAAACCTGTGTGTGAAGGAAAAGAAAAAGAAGCTTAAACAGGTCAATGTCTTTTACTCACAACCAGTTTTCTAGTTCCATTGACAATTGTGATGTTCTCTGAAATATGTCACTGAGGCAGAGTATTTTGCATGTTGTTAACATACCCATGCAGGATCAAGGAGTACAGATCATTGTAGGGTGTGGTATTATTGGGTTGTATGTAAATGTACATGTATATACATCTTTTAAATTGTTTAAACCCTTAAGATTTCCATGTTTGTTTTAGTTTCAGAAAGAGTATCCAGATATCTACAGCCGTCGCTTCCCGACCACAGAAAGTGAGGCCCAGCTCTTTGTTGATAAGCCAAAGATAAAGCCACCGATGCTGTTAAATATGAAGAAATCCAAAACATTTGGCCTAAGAAACTGAAGATGATTTTTTTTTGCTTCAACTTTGTCCATATACTTGATTTGTAGACTCCATTCCCTCCAAAAAAGGGAATCTGCAACTACATAAAATACTTCTTTTGAAGGACTCAATGATGCAGGGACAATCAAAGCCTTTCATCTGGAAAGTGAAGACTAAAGCAATACTGTACATTTCAGATGTTATCCTAGATAAATATATTTAAACTTATTTTTGTTTAAACTAGGTGGGGGGGTTGTAAAGTTTTATTAATGGGATAAAAAAGCAAAGCTACACAATCTTATGTAGCTGTATTATTGTTTTCAAAGACGACAATTGATGACTGTAGTGGGTGATGGGTAGTAATTTAAAATCTTGAGAAGAGCATGAAGTCCTTTTTCTCAAGGCTGTTAACTGACATTGAGCACTCTGCTGCAGTAATGCTATAGCTTGCTCATGCAAGTGTTCTCGTATCCGCTTCAAGCATTGTTTTATCTCCATAGTCCTCAGGTTTACTTGTTCTCTGATTGAAAGGTATTGTCACCACATCTTCCATTTTAATGTATGCTTCTGAAATGCAGGACTTTTAGGCTTTGCATCCTGCTGAAGCTTTGATGCATATTGAATAATTTGCTAGACCTAGGTGTGTTACAGTGCAATTTATCCACATTGGGTAAGTGTTAATTTCATTCAGGTGATGCCAAACTGGTTAGACTTCGTATCTTGTTTTAGGTAACAATGGTTTTTGCAATGTTATATATATATACTATATTGTATTTTTGGTAACTCCAGCACAATTGTTTACACTTTTTTTGGTCTGTACTTGGTTTCTATTTACTTGACATATAAATGTCTCTTTAAATCTGTAACTTGCACATAACAACAAATCTGTAACATCAGTTTCCAGATTAAAGTTTTACATTTTGAAAATATTTCCACTTGAAGAAAATGTGCCAGATGTAGTTAAAGCATGTTTACAGTGATTTTTTTTTAAAGCAGATGGCTTAAATGATACTGAGCTGTAAATGGAAATAGAACAATCAGAGTGAATAAAAGCCTTTTATCAAGGTTGTCACTGCTATGTTCATGCTCTTAAAAAAACAGTCAAAGTGGTTTTACTGGCATTTGTGATAAGAATTGGGTATTCTTGTATATTAAGAATTTATTGCATATAGAGTTCCACCTTCAGGTAAACATTAAGAAATTGAAGATGTCTGATGCTACCCAAACGCTGCTGTCCCTCCAGAATAAGCAGCTGGTCCAGGAGAAAACTGCGTAGGGATGCCACTGCCAGGTAAACGGACACTTTGGAAAAAATTAGTTAAGTGACATGGGAGAAAATGTCCATGAGTGAAAGCTAGCCTATTTTTCAAAGTCACGGAAAGCCATTGTTGAAAAATAAATCTCAAATCTTTTTACCACAAAACATTTAAATGAGACGGCAAATGTGAAATGTGGAAAAACTGGATCTGTGGTCAGAAGAGACGAAATTGGAACATTTTGGTCCAAATGCTGAATGCTGTCTCTAGTGCAAACCACACAACACGTCACCCAGTCAACACCATCCCTGCTGTCTAGTATTGTGGTAACAGTATTATGTTATGGAGTTACATCTCATCAGAAAGGACTGAGAAGCTTGCCAATATTGAGGGGAAAATGTATAGAACAAATGTCCACACAAATCTTGGAGGAAAGTTTGCATCAGTCATCTAAAGATACAAAAGTGTATATACTTCTTTTTTTCACGCTGTGTTTGTGGTCTGGCTTTCACTGTGATTATTGCATTGGGCAGTTGTTAGTTTTCAATGCACACTTGTGTCCAGGGAATTCTCACTTCTCTGAGCTAAAGAGGGATTAATCAGCCAGCAGCCATATTGCCCTGCAACTCACAACTGGCAACCCACTGAAGCTAAGGAGCTGTGAGCCTGGTCAGTACCTGGATGGGAGACTAAGGCTGCTGCTGCTGGAAGTGGTGTTAGTGGGGCCAGTAGGTGGTACTCACCCTGCAGTCTGTGTGGGTCCTAATGCCCCAGTACATACTGTAAAAAGGCACTGTCCTTCAGATGAGACTGAGGTCATGCCTTTCTGTGGTCGTTAAAAATCCCAGGACATTTCTCTAAAAGAGTAGGGGTCTAACCCTGGCGTCCTGGCCAAATTTCCCATTGGCCCTTACCAATCGTTGCCTAATAATCCCAATCTATGCTGCACATTGGTGGTGGAGGAGAGGAGTCCCCATTACTTGTAAAGCACTTTTAGTGGAGTGGCCAGAAATCACTATATAAGTGTAAGCTATTATTATTATTATTTATTATTATTAATGGTATTACCATTATTTTTTTTGTTCTAGACTACATTCAGATTTGCCAATTGTTTTTGTTTTTTTACACACTTGCTCACAATAACTAACCTGGACCCTGCTACCATGCACTGGGGAGAATGAGGAATGTAGGCAGACTCCTCTGACCTGCTTACCTTCAAGCCACTTACAGTATCTTTTAACACAGCTTGTGCTCCATGCAGGCAGCCCCATGTTGGAGTTTGCGCACTGCTTGGAGGGGAGGTGTGTCCTTTACAGCACAGCAAGTACCTGGGAGATAGCAGGGGGAGCTGTGTTGCTGCCAGATAATCCCAAACCTTTTCTTGGGTCAGTTGTGAGCTGGTGCTTGGAGACTCCTAGTCACAGATGGCTTACACCCTTGTTTCAGCACTCGCCTTTACAAACTGAGGCTGACATTTTGCCCCTGTTATCATTGTACTGCACCTACTCCTATAATTGATTAATTGATTTGCACAACGAATTGCTGTTTAAAATCCAGGATATTTGACACTAATTCCCGGTTTATGTATTCGATAGCTGCAATGACCTGGTCGCTATTCTCTGTCCAGTGAAATGTCCAGCAATTTTTAATGTATTCAGTGGGTAAAGTTTAAAGCAAAATATCTATATCAACCTGCCATTTCAAAGAATGATCTCACATCCTTTAAGGACTCATTTAAACTTTATTAACCCATGGCTGGGGAATCAGTGCAAAAATACCTGTCACACTTGGCAGTAAGGCCTGCACAGATCAACACAAGGATCAAGACACAAGGACAAGAATAGGTAGTCTATAGCAGAAGAGTTCTGAAAGGTCACATGCTCCATACACGCCTAAAGGAGTTCTGAGAGCCATTGTCTCCTGTGTCAGTGGGACCCACCATCCCTTTTAATCAGCCCAGCATCATCACGTACACCATCTGACATAATGCATCAGACAAATCTCACAAAAGCACATTAGCCACAGGGAAAGGCAAGCATTGGATATCCTAAGGCTTATATCAGCCTTGTCAGATCCATTCATTTGGTAGAAATATTGTCAAGAGGTTAACTTCCAGTTTATTCTCAAATCATATTTTCATCTGCTCTGTAATGTATTCGTGGTAGTGAGATAGGAGGAACAAAGGCTATACAACCACAGAAGTGAAAAGTCTGAAACGACCAGGATGATGAGTATAATGGCGAACATGGAGACACAGAGGGACATGAATTCATGAGAGAGAAGTGCTGGGAACCTCTCTGCTCTATTCTGTATCATGAGCATCAAAAGAAACATATATTTATATAAGTCTGCTTATAGAACAAAGTGTGAATTTATTGATTCATATGTTTTGGTGACATTTTGATTAATTGATCATTTCTGACTGATACACCCTGTTACTGTATATAAATTAATGAAGTCTTTTATCCCTTAAGATGACTAACTTATAAAGAAAATGTTTTGTAAAAAACATTTTAAAGAAGCATTCATTAATCTTAGTGTTTCGTTACTCAAGATTTTCACTGCTCGTGCAGGACAGGCACACTTTTAACTCTGTCTCCCAGCAGGAAATTTCAGATTTATATAATACAATCTTCTCCTAGTTAGTGTTTTATGAATGTTTTTACATTTATGCTGTAATCCTGAATACATAGTATGTTGGTGTTGCATTGCATTAATTAATTGTAATCCATTTTTATTGAATGTGAATGTTGAAAAGATAAATGTTTATTTGTGCTAAGCCTTTTCTCCTATACTCTACTTTTAAATATTTTATGCCAGATAAGCTGAAACAATTAGCCGGTTCGGTAGGAAAAAGAAAAGTGAATATATTAGTGTACAGGAGTAGCCTGAAGGACTTGGTGTTAAGATATGAGTAAAAATGCAGCAAAAAAGAGGAATCAGTCACTGAAAAGAAGCCCTTTACCAGTGTAACTAAACTTTGGCTCAGCATAGTTTCCTCTGTCACTTGTGTCCAGACAGAGACTTCTGGGTCTATGTTTGTCATACGTTTGATATTTTTGTTTCTGAACAAACATGGCTATTGTTGGAGTGAATGGGCTTTACTCTGGAGGTCTGTTCTGCAGAAAAGGGCACAAAGGTTATGAAACCTTCCAAACACATAACTGAGGCACCAATAATGCAGTTTTGTGTATAGTCAACAGGCTTAAAGTTTTTGCCTTATGCAATAGCCACATCAAAGCCACATAAGTAATGTTTCAGTTGTAAACGACAAAAGCATTAAATAAGCTGCTTAGAACGCTTTGCTGAGAATATGCACTGAGCCACACAGTGAAATTTACTTGTGGGTGTTTTTCTTAAACCATGGTGTGTAAGCTTTATCTCTTTACATAAAAATCGCTGTGCCGCGCAAGTGAGCTTTGACATAGATGAGAAATGTCATTTTACAATTGATAAAGAGCACACAGTCCAGGACGCCTTGAGCCTTGCTTGGCATCGTACACCACAAACCCGACACACTTAAAGCAGACAGCAGGCATCTACTATCCTTAGATCTCCTTATGTTTCTCTTAGGGGCAGGAGTTGCTCCACTATGTTTTGATTTGTAAACTGAATCAAGTAAGAAATGCAATGATTCATTTGATCAAGTGATTGATGAAGGTCTTTTTCTACCTACTTCTCAGCTATTCCACCTGTAGATTTCAGTATCTTCTCTTGAGGCCTCTTGTAATGCATGTTTGTCAAGAAGCTTCTGGGTGTTGTCCCCTTCAGCTACCCATACCCAGGTATATACCCTGATCACACTGGAATAAAATCATTAATGCATCAGCCAAATAATAATAAATATAATAATTCAAAAGAATAAGTTCATAGTACAGATAATTGTTATGAAACTATTTGGGATGCAGATTGTGGTATGCTGTATGTCATGTAAGACTCTCTGTATGGAATATTTATATACAGGAATATATATAGGTTATATAGGAATATATCAGATTTGTATACCAGAGTTATATGGAGAACTGATTAAGAGTAGAGTCAGTGATTGTGCTCGGTTTATTTATTTGTTAAAAATAGTGTAAAATTCATGCTACACATTGTGCAAACAGGAGAGATTAAGAAAGCAGAAGTGCAGATTTCAGTTTTGTAATGTCATATCTAAATCGTTATGTGCAGCCTGCCAAGGAAATGTTTGAAATTGGCTAGCAGTGTCAGCTGTTGCGCCCAAACAAGTCCCTGATTTCTAGGAAGATAGGTGTTTGTGAGTGAATGACACATAATCCCAGCCACATTGCTCCTGCCTTGTGGAAGGTGTAATTGAAAGGGCTCCTTGTGTTGTTTTTCTTCATGGCAGTTTGTCAAAAATGAACCCGTCACAGCCGTGAAAATAAATTGTAATCTCTTTGGATTTATCCAAAGCCACTGAAAAGCTGCGTTCACCAGCAACGAGCCTTTCCCAGGAAAGTTTGCGATACAACGTAACTGTTGTTTTAGCACATGTTGCAAGTAATCTTAAAGCTGTCCTGCCTTGTTGGATTATTCTGGTGTTAGGAGTGGGGGGCTGTATGCCAGAACTATTCTACACAGCAGCAAAGCACTGAAACCAAAATCTTTCAAAAATGTTTGAGCTGTAAGATGTACCTGCTCTCTTTTGCTCGTTTAATAATAAGAGTCAGCTGTAAAGGTTTAGTTTCAACAAAGTTAACTTATCATCATTAACTGATGTCATTTATTTTGTGTTCTCAGGTCAAACAGTATCGGAGCAAAAGTGCAAAGAGAAGTGCCTGTGTGCCCCTAACAGGAGCTAGGTGTCAGTGCAAACCATTAAGATACAGTGGTTGGGTTTCCAGACGTGCCCTGCATCAGTTTGGTTAATAAGAGCAAACGATTCACTTTTCCAAGGTAAAATTGGAAACATTTTCAGAACAAAATGGGACATCTTAAATCGTACAAACATCTTGTGCTGCCACCAGAAGAGTCATGTCTGTAGTGCATGAAGGAACCAGAGACAAAGGTTACAGATGCTGCTCTGCCTTCTTCCCTTGCCTCTGTCGCCACAGAAGGTCACGATCTCCTCACAACATTCTTTGGAGACAAGCATCCAGTCACATGGAGATCGTAACAAGACATGAGACCAATCCAAACGTGCCCCATCGTAATAAGCACCACAGAGATTACAGCAAGCATCCATGTGAATTCAGAGCAGGTGACGGCAGGAGCTGAGTAACTGAGAGCTCAGCTGACCTTTTCTGACCTTTTGCATTCATTAAAAAGGACAAAAAAGAACAAAAAGGGGACATATAAATCAAAACTATCAGCAAACAAGTGAAGCATCAACAATGAACAATTCTCTCTTCAATAAAAGGAATATTTCCTACATCTTAGGCCCATGTTCCTTTTTGCTAGAACACAATACAAAGTGTAATTTTTTAAAAAAGGACTGAATTTGTTTTTGCAATCAAGCTAGTCTTGAAACAGAAATGTAGCGGTCTTTCTAAAACACAGTAATACTTAAGAGCTTTGTATTTTTCTCATTTAACTTCCGGTTTATATGTAAGCTGGTTCCATACAATGTGCTTTCAAGGTAGAATGATTTTTTGTATGTCGCAATGTGGTTTCTTGTGTGATTTTAGTTGTGTCCTTAAGTAACTGTGAAAAAAGAAAATCAAGTTTAAAAAAGGAGTATTGTTTATTAAGCCAAGCCTGGATGGAAAAGTTCAGAATCTGGGCACAAAGGAATTTTTGTTCTTGTCTTCTGATTGGCTGAGAAACGTCTTTCAGTCATTGCTGTTTGGGATGGGAAAGGATCCTGGGGTATAAATATCTTAAACTGCCTGCAGGCACAATTCAACGTTTTTCTTCAAGCCCTAGAAGAACAGTGTGTGCTGTGAAGACAAAGGAAAATGTGTAGCCGGTAAGTTAACATTCCCTGTCTTTCTCTTGCATTTTAATAATGGTTCTTTTTACCACAGATAATGTTTGGAAGCCATTAAGTTCTGTTTATCACAGCCTTTAAGCAGTAAAAATGTCATTCAGGCTTTTAAACATGAAAACATGTCAATACCTACTATAACTTTCTATATTTATACTATAGCTTTATCTTCCTTCTCTACTGAGCCAAGTATATATATTTATTTTTTTGCTGTTTCTAAGTTTTCTTGTTCTTTATAAAATAGGAGGTTAAAAGGAATTCACATTTCTATTAAATATTTCTGGCATTTGTTTTTTGAAGGTGTATTAAGATTTATTTTTTATAAAGTATATACTGTTTGCAAAGTGTTAAAATATATTTCATTATTTTTTAGTAGATTAGAATTGATAGTAGAGCTTTTTTAATCACCAACCCATTCAAAAAGAATCTAATTAGAAATGCTGTAGATGAAGCGTAGTTAAGGTATTGTAAGATACTATTGGAAGAGTAAACAAAAGTTCTCTTGAAGACAGTATAGACAAAAAAGCACAGAAAACACCGTATTGAAAATGTGATGTAAAAGTGCCTTTAGTGGATTTATGTGCCTTACATTCTATACTAACAGCTGATGCTTTAACATAGAAAGAATTAACCATCTCACTTTTGAGGACTCTAGTGGGTTGATCCATTCAAAGCACTCTGAAATATTGGAATGAAGAAGAGTCTTGCTACACATAAAAAATATATACTTTTTTGTCACCGAGGAAGTTTAATACCTGTTTAAAATAACTTTTATGAGCGTTTTTATACTGTCAGAAACTGGTGTTATTTTCTAGTGCAGTCAAATAACTGATAAATGAGATCCATTGGTGTATTAATGGCACATATGTGGCAGTTTATTCACAGCCCAAGTCTCTACAAACTCCACAAACTGAGAATAGTGTTAGGGGCCTCATCATAACTATGTATACATATTGAAATTGATCTGGAACAGGTCCTAAAGAGTAAAAACAATTCTCAATACTTTCCACCCCAGCAAACACGTATTTGCAGCCCTTCTTTTTTCTCGTGGTTTATTACTTTTGAAAAAGAGGTTACTCTTTTTTAGCACCTAAAGACACTCATGCAAGTTGTAATCTGATTTTGCAGTGTTGAACACCCTGCTGCTGGGTACAAGAAGATTTTTGAGACTGTTGAGGAGCTTTCTGAACCAATACCAGCGCAAGTCATAGGTCTGCATGTTTTCTTTGCTTTTCTGGTTGCAGTTACTGTAGTTTTAAGAGCAAGGAGCATGGCTCTGAAACTCACTGTGTTGTATATTACCATAAAAATATCATATTTTTTCCCAATCTCTCTTTAGAGCCTGTCAGGCTTTAAAATCTTGGTGTTTGACATCTACCACTTGACAGAGGCAAGAGGGTATCCTGGAACTTGCTGGAAAGACCCTTTTCTCTAAAACCCAATGACATAGAAAAGCCTACAGTTAAGAGTTTTCCAGCAGCCAGCAGTGATGTCTGACAGACAGAAGGTTTGAGAATGCAGAAAGCATCTTGGAAGGGAGTGAAGTGGATTTTACACTTAGTTCACAATCACTAAGAGGAGGCAGTACAAGCATCACTGCTGGTTGTTTCTGAATCCTTGTTACTTTCTCTTTGGGATGTATGAGGGTTAAACTGGCAAAGTAACTTCAGACTCTAATTACAACATGATTGTTTTAACTGGGAGTTATTCAAATTCAACAATTTAAACCTATGAATGTTTTTTAAGGAAAAAAAGCTTTTGGTCCCTTTCAGCCCAAGTTGCAAATTGTAACGTGTATGCAAATGTAAATGACAACTTTATGGAACTTCTTTCTAAGAGACATTAGAAACCAAGGCCCAACTGCTCCAGGGTAATACCATGGTGTACAATAAAAAACACTCCCTAGAAATATTGATCATGGTATTCCTGTGGTCCAGTAGTCAAGCACATTCATGTTGAAGCCAATGGAAATAATAGAAAATCTGTGGTCAAACAAGAGGGCAAAATCCTACATAAGGAAGTAAAATCCTACAAGGAAAAGTTTCATGTGGTGCATCCTTCATTACCTCTCCAATCTCAACCACAGAAAGTGAGCTGACCTGAGGGTATTTGGTATCTTTCCTCACGGTACAGGTAGAATTCCCCCCTGGCTGAAGGGGAGCTTGCTCAGACTGGGGCCTGGCCTTTTTGAGGTTGGTGACGAACCATTCTATCACCTGTTTGATGGCCAAGCCCTCTTTCACAAGTTTGACTTTAAGAATGGACAAGTGACCTACCACCGAAGGTAAGGCACACCTCCCTTACAACAACAAATGAGGTCCTGTATGTGGAGTTTGATCTTTTGAATCTGATCTGTGCTCAACTTTTTAATTTTAGCACATTTCAATAACAGAAGACCCTTTTTCTTTTGTCCTTGCTACACTCTATGTTAGACTCTTTTCTTATTTGTTTTTCTAGTTTTACTTTAAAGACAAGTCATGATTGTTGTGGAAAATGCAGAATTGCTATTTAAAGTTAATTGGACCATGGCTGTATAGCATTGTTTAGTCCAAGGCCTAATGAAAACAGTACTTGTGTAATAGCTGCTATTTATCATTAAAGTTCCAATCGTGGTTGACATCTCTTGGAAAAGTTTTCAGTTCTATTATCTTTTTTTTGTCTGTGAAAGTAGCTCACGCTCAGTTGTCTGCTGTTTGTGTGACACCCTGTCTTAGCATCCTGCTCACATATGAGCTGTTTAATTCTGAAATGCCTTACAAAGAATTTGAATCAAACAGCTTGTTTGGGGAAAATAGAGAATGTTTTTTTTTTTATTAAAGAGAGCTTCTTATTAAAGAGAGTGATTGTAGAACAGTGCTAATGAGAAACATGTTTAGTTTTACCATCTGGCTATAACAATTCCTGCAGTAAGAAACCTCCAGAACCTTTAATCTTGTGCCACATGTTCTGGAATTCAGAAGATCTTCCGATGGATTTAGAATTTCTTTTAAGCTACTGTACATTCTATATGTGTACCCATGACTCTTCACTTTGGCTGTTTGGTCCTTGACAGGCTACCTGTCTATAAAGCTTACATGGACCTTCAAGAAGCCTCTGTTTACATGCCTGTGTGAGGCAGTGAGACCTTAATGCTAGTAGAATCCTGAAGTGTTTTTAAAAAGTGACTCAAGACTTGCTTTTGCTCTGTACCATGTTCATAAGCCATCAGCATTATCTGTCATAAATTTATCTGGCTGAGCCTTTTATGTCTTCAGGACTACAATTACAGTTGGTTATGCTGGAGAAACCTGGGTAAAGTGCTATGTTTAGGTTTAGGGGCAGAGCTGCAGTGTTCCTACTGAACATTCTAACCTACAAGTCTTGTCAGGATCCTGGAGCCCTGACCACTGTTCTACTCTGTGTGGAGGGCTGGCATAGGTGTAAATTAAATAGTCCTACTTTTCACTTGTTCTAAAGCAAGCCTGGTTACCTTGTTAACACCTGAACTAGACTGTGTTTTCTTCAAGTGAAGTGTTTTCTTTTTTTTTTTCTAGATTTGTGCGAACAGATGCATACGTGAGAGCAATGACAGAGAAGAGAATAGTCATTACTGAGTTCGGGACCTTTGCATTCCCAGATCCATGCAAGAACATTTTCTCCAGGTCTGTGGTGACCATTTGCACAGAAAAGCAGTTATTTCTAGATTCCCTAACTTGCACTGGAAACAGTATTTCTGCATAAGTCCTTCTTTAGGCTGGTGTTCAATCAACTTTTAGTGAGTCCAACTGCCAGTTTTGGTGTTCTTTCTTGTGGAACCACAGTTGTCTCGATGTAGTTCTTGACACGCTGCTGCTTGTTGACACAAACACTGTCTTTTGCCATCGTGCAAAGCTTCTTGTGAGACTTGGGTTTGTGCCCCACAATGACAGAATCAAGTTTAATGCCAGAACGTTTGTATTTCTGTAGGTTTTTCTCTTACTTCAAAGGTATTGAAGTAACAGACAATGCTCTGGTGAATGTCTATCCTGTTGGAGAAGATTTCTATGCCTGTACAGAAACAAACTACATTACAAAAGTCAACCCTGAGACTCTGGAAACAATTTCAAAGGTTGGTCCTTTTAATGTGCTTTGCTGAGCTCCAGTGAACGGTACACTAGAACAGCAGGCTAGCTTCCCACTTCATCTGATTTCCCAATAAAGCAAAATCCAAATGGATTGACAGTCACCAGTAGGTACAGAAAATAGATTTTAAAAAGCTTTCTTCTGAAACAATCAGACAACTTTTCTTCATCAATGTTCTTGACTTAATTATATATTTTGTATCTTATACTTAACCTATGCTATCCTATCAGACATATGCTATTGTGATTTTAATAGTAAGGAAAGAGGTGTACCAGTTTGCCTAAATAATGCCGTATTGGTATAAAAATGCTGTTTCAATTTTTTTCAAACATAATAGAAACAGCATTTCTGTGGTAGGACATAACTCCAGTCTGCTTGATTCTGTATCCTCCCAGGTGGATCTGTGTAACTACGTGTCGATTAATGGGGTGACGGCTCACCCTCACATTGAAAAAGATGGCAGTGTGTACAACATTGGGAACTGCTTTGGGAAAGGCATGTCCATTGCCTACAACATTGTCCGCATTCCACCTACACAGAAAGGTAGGGCTCTTATGTTATTATTAAAATAAAAACATCTTGATAGAACTACCCCCTACACTCCCTACAAGTAATTCTTAGAAATCCCTACCATCCTCGTTTCATGCATGAAATGGAAAAAGATACTCATTTGTTTTTTGGGTAGATTTCTCTTGTACATATGACATGATCACACAGCTTTTCTAATACCTATATAGTGTCTACCAGGTTTTTTAACTCCTTAGCATCAGAGCTCCAAATGACACTATCACCGTTAAATGACAAAGAAACTGTCAAAGACAAATGACAAAGGAGCTCCTTGCTAAGACATGTTGTTGAATTTTTTCACTCTCCTTGCTCATTTGAAAACTGTAGTTAAGAGAAAAGTTGTCAGTCCTCTAAATTAAAGATTTTCCATATACATTTTTTTTCTTACAAAAACAACATTATGATGTTCTTACACTTAAACACATGAACATGCATCAAATACAATTCTACATACAGTACATCTGTATGTAGATCTTTCTTTTGATTCTTCTGTTTCTCTTCACCATAAAAGTCGTTACCATGTTAATTTGAGTAAAACAGGCCAGACTGTCAGAAAAACGTTTTCACAAATTCAAAGGAAAGTTTCTATGATTCCTCTAGCTGTGAAAAAATAAGCCAAACTTTCACATGGTGAGCAAATATCACAATAGTAACTAATGCAGTTGATCCTGGTTCCAGATAAATCAGACCCCATTGAAAAGGCAAAGGTGGTGGTGCAGATCCCGTGCAGTGACAGGTTCAAGCCCTCCTATGTCCACAGGTTGGTCAACTTGTTCCAGGTCACTGATTGCTTTCTTATGATGCTAGACTGTGCTTTGTACTGTTTACAGTAAAACATATAGTATGGTGCTGGATCACAACAACTACATTTACATGCACTTATTAAATGATCAGAGAGCTTTTACATGTACAACAGGTATCCCACTAGTTACCACTGAAGTGCTACACCTGCATGCAGCAGGTGATGCTCAGCAGCCATTATACACAAATGACTATTCAAGAGATGAAGTGTTGAAGTGAGAAATTGTTTCACCACTTGAATTATTCCCAGTAATTGATATTATGGCAGGACACTGGCATTGGTTCTTTAATGACCATGTAGCTAGGACCTCTGTTTACACCTTCATTCATATAATAAATCTCCTACAGCACAATGTGGTTGGTCATTATACTAGGGCATTGTTTTTGGAAACTCCAGAGTGAATAGTGCCACCTGTTTGTCCACTAACACAACTGGAGGTCTCCCTTTCCAACACTGACCAGGTCCAGCCTTTCCTAGCTTTGAGATGTGATGAGAGGTAGCTGAACAATACCAATAGTTGAACCAGTCACTTTACTGTATGTTGTAGTTGTACAGCAGTACAAAAATCTTGAATTTCATTATTATTTTGTTCTGTGTAACATTTTTCATCTTTATGCATAAAAATATGTTAACTTGGAGAGTGAGGAACGTAACCTTGTCTGAGCTTAACGTCCTCTGGGCTTTCCCAGATGTGTTATACTGTGAAGTCATCCAAAAGGACCACTAATTGTATCTGGAATTTAAAAGGTTTCATTCATACAGTGTCAAACTCTTCATCTAACATTTCCACCTTTCCTCTGAGGTGCACTGCTCTATGACATAGTTGTGTATAAGCTGAAAATGAGCACATTGCTTAGTTCAGGAATTTTTGGCTGTGGAAAGCTGAGAAAGTGCTAGTTCAGTCTCCAGCTATCATGCACAGAATTCATGGGGAGGCTTTATGAGTAAGAAGTAATCCAGGATAGTTGCAGTGCGCTTGCTTTAGCCCATGGTGAGTCATAAAAAACAATGATTCTTGTTGAATACAAGCATTATGTAATCATACTGGGAGATGCAGACAACAAACTGCTGCTCAGTAATTAAATACAGGAATTAAATCTCACTTTTATGAGACACTGAAATTCACTGATATTTAACTGCTATAATCAGGTCTGAGCTATTGTATGTCATGGCATTGTACATGGTGTTACCAGCTATTGATATGAACATGTAACTGATTAATGAATCAGAAGTGGACAATAACCAACAATAACAATAACTGCTACTCAGAGCACTAAACAATAGAAGCTTGAGTTTTAATTGAAAAGTGTTCAAATTCTGAATGCTTACTTCTGATTTCTCTTTTTTAACAGCATAATGTATAAAAAGGAACCAGTAAAAATTAGTTACCACCTACAGATTTAAATTATATTGGCATCAGTTCAACAGTGACAAAACAAAACTCACATCAACAGCATCTTGGCCAGACTGCCCATGATATTCCTTTTAGTGCTGTTTTTCTTCTCCTTGTCTTCTCAGCTTTGGAATGACAGAAAACTATTTTGTTTTTGTGGAAACCCCAGTGAAAATTAACCTGTTGAAATTTTTGGGAGCATGGAGTATCAGAGGGGCCAACTACATGGACTGCTTTGAGTCAAATGAAACAATGGGGGTGAGCTGGATGTGAGCTGTTACAGACAGATGTAATACAAAACACTTCTTTATGATTCTGCAAGAGAAAGTATGCAGTAAATAATATACATGATTGCATGAAAATATTTCACAATCCTATGCAAACAATGCTACATAAGTATTTTTTGTCTTAGCTGCTTATAAATTTTTTTTTCTTTCTATTATTCAACAGAAATGTATTTTCAAGGCACATTTGTACCACAGCTTAACAAAATACACCATGACTGGTTAAACAGCCTCACAAGACCATGGGTGTTCAACTAATTAGTCTGTTCACATGAGATTAATCACCACACACCCCTTCCTTCTAAATGGGTAGATGTTTCAGAGCATCAGGAATAAAAAGGCAGTCATAGAAAAGATAACAAAGCAAATCTGACCTGATGAATATGTCAGGCATTGTTTTCATTTGAAGGTGTTTTAACAATTTTAAATATTTGTCCTCCCCAGTGAAAAGTGTTTACATTGTTTGTGTCACAAAAGTTGAATTTGATGACTGTGCATTTACTTGCAAAATAAAATTCACTTCTAAGTTGGTACAAAAGCTGTGTCCTATCCCCTCCCTGGTAAGTGGTATATTTCATAGAAACCACATAGCCTATCATGGTTTTAACCTTCTTAACTCAGAGTGACTAAAAGAAGCCTCATTTTATTTCATAGACTTGGTTTCACCTGGCCACGAAGAAAACTGGAGAATACCAAAAGCTCAAATTCCGAACTTCAGCCATCAACTTGTTTCATCACATTAACTGCTATGAAGACAATGGTTTTATTGTCGTCGATCTTTGCACCTGGAAAGGGTAGGGTCACTGAATGGGGCTGTAGTTGTGAAAGAGAATTGGTAGGACAATAAAACGAAATTGAACTCTCACTCAGCAGTCAATCTGCACTCATATTGAGCCATGAGCACAAATAATTTGAACCACACTTCCCAACTATTCTCCTCAAATTACTTATTTTTTGTTACAAGGTTTTTTGTTACTGAAGGCAAGCTCTGTATTAATTCAACAGTTCCCTTGCTCACATTAGTATTCTTTGACAGAAAAATGCTACTTTTTCACTGGTATGATCCTTATCAAAGAAAAAAAGCATTGAAATGTATTTTTCCTTTTATTGTAGTTGATAATTGTTTAGGAGCAGAAGTCAAAGGTGAGACCATTTAGCAAAGAGGTCTTCTACCATGGAAATATTCATTCCAGTAGTCTTTTTTTCTGTGTTGATCAATTAAGAGCTAATTGCTTCATTTAATAATTGCTCTGCAATTGATCACAAGTCAATTTAATGACTATCTATATAACCTGCTGGATTGGAGATGCAACATGCCTGGGTAAATTATTCCAGAATCCTACCTCCCTTAGTGCCAACAAGTCTTTCCTTTTTTCTTCCACAGAGTTTCAACTTATATTTTCTGTTTTGTGTTTCACTGTTCGCCTCTTGGTTTACAGTTCTGAAGAAGACCACTTTGTTGATTTTGTTAATGCTTTTGAGATTTCTGAATTCTTGAATCAGGCCCCGGCAAGGTCTTCTAAGTTTAACACCGAAAGGGTTCAGTTCATTTAGGCTGGTGACGCAGAACTTGCCCAAGGTTACTCTTCTCTAGACTAGAGCTGTAATATCAAATGGACCGTTTGTAATGTGGTGACCACAACTGTATGTAATATTCTCAAAGAAGTCTTCCTAGAGTAGCTTTAAATGTTAACATATCCCTTTATTTCACTTCTGCTTTTAACTATGTATCCAAACACTTTGTAATACTTCTTAGTAGATACATTGATTTGACAGCATTGAGCTCTGAATATTGCAAAGTTTCAAAGCCAACATTTCATACCATTCACAATGAAGCTTTTCACCTAAACTTGGTTAGCATTTTGTGTGTTTTCCTATAAGGTTTGAATTTGTGTACAACTACCTCTACTTGGCGAACCTACGGGAGAACTGGGAGGAGGTGAAGAAACAGGCCATGATGGCACCCCAGCCAGAAGTTCGCAGATATGTCCTTCCCCTCGATGTTCATCGGGTTAGATGATTAACCACTTATTACAGAATACTAATCCCAGAGTCTTGTACAGGCGGGGACATTTAACACAGTTATTCTCAGAACTCAATGTCAACACAACACCGACATTCAGCACAGGTGTGCTCGTAGCTCACTGAGTAGATAAGTGTTCTCGTAGCTCACTGAGTAGATAAAGATGGAGAATAAAGGTTTCCTGAGCTGATTGAACTAGGGGGAAAGACATGGGCAGGTTGGAGTGAGAAAAGTCTGAAGTGGAATCAAGCCAACACACAAGTGTTAGTGCTCACCCTCTTCTGAATAGTGTCATGAGATCATTAGGGATTACAAACCATCAAGACCATCATTAGCATCTTACCTGAGTGCCTCCATCTTTACAGGGTTTCCTATCAACACACTGATACATTTGTGTGCAATTTCTGGGGTAAAGGAAGAAATGTTTGGTCACTAGCACCAGCTTTCAAACATTAGCAGGACTGCAGCTTATAAAACCTGCGCTTATTGTCAGTTCAACAAATGCAGTAGATTACATTGTTGTTGTACCATTAGTAGATCCTAATGGAATTAAATATTCCATGTTTTTTATTAATTCAAATTGATTATTTAGTCTTTGAGGTGTGATTGTACATATTAGAAGCAAGAAATCTTGTTCTTAAAAGGAATATATTGTTGCTTTTCTTCTGTATTCAATTGCTTACCCTTATGGTGCACTATTAAAGCGAGAGAGACTCTAGGTATCAACATCTAGAAGGTTGTAGTTTGAGTTGTAGATGCCTGGATCTCTACTGTACTGCAAAGACACTGTGCACTGTGCACTGTGGGTGTGAATAATAAAATCTCATTTTGTGATTTTGTAGGAGGAGCAGGGAAAGAACCTGATTTCCTTGCCATACACTACAGCCACTGCCACCATGTGGGCTGATGGAACAGTGTGGCTGGAGCCTGAGGTGTTGTTCTCTGGACCTCGTCAAGGTAGAGTGATCTGAAACGACTAGTACTGCAGACATGAACTTCTCTTGCTCCAATCTTTCAGCAGAATGTGAAATGGTATATTATAATTGCTTATCCTTATTATGGTAGTTGTTGTTGTTATTGTATTGATGATCAAGTGAGAAATAAGAAGCTCAGCGTATCTTCAGGAGTGGCCATACAGAGACTCCTGATTAACATTATTTTTTAATTGAACTATCTTTTTATTTATCTCTCCACTCTGTAACACCTTGTTAGAGTATACTTAAAATGAAATCACTGTAATTGCAATATTTTTATTACTTTTATGGATCATTAAGCTACTAGCAACTGAATGAGCAACTTGGACTGAATAATCACCTCCTGTTTGTTGCCTTTCTTTTGAACATTTGCGAACACATACACATGTGTCTAAATATGTCCAAAATCTCACTGTATCATCTGGTGAACAGTTCTCAGATCCTTTTTTATTGCAGCAACACTCAGCTGTATTTTTATGATTGCTGTTTTTATTTCTAGAATGCATTCTGATGTTATTTAAAGTTAAATAAGATGATGTCTATGTTCTACAGGAAAATGGAACAACCCAAGGTTCTCTAAAATATATCATTTTATTTTAAGAATAAAATGTAGAATACTTGCATAAACCAATGTATAATGTTTTTCAATATTTAGCTCCAATAATTTAAAATGCGTGAAACGGATCTGTTTATGTCAAATGAAATAATGATAACAGAACATTATCTGAACCACAGCACTTCTCTCAGAAAGCCCTCATGCTGATTTCATTGGTACTGTATTTCTCTTGCAGCTTTTGAATTCCCACAGATCAATTACAAAAAGTACTGTGGAAAGAACTACACCTACGCGTACGGACTGGGACTCAACCACTTTATTCCAGACAGGGTGAGTTCTGCACCAGAGCTAAAATGTCTCTTTCTGTATCTTGAATCTGTCCAGGTTGTCTTGTGCAGTATTCCGTCTGTCTGTCCATTTTCCAACCGCTTTTCCAATTCAGGGCTGTGTAGAAGCCGGAGCCTATCCTGGCAAGCAACAGATGAAAGGCAGGATATACCCTGGACGAGACACCAGTCTATCACAGGGCACACACAGACGCACACACTCACGTTTAGGGCCGATTTTCCCAGAAGCCAATTACCTGCCGGTGTGGTTTTGGACTCCGGAGGACCCAGAGGAAACCCACATCAACACAGGGAGAACATACAAAATCAATGCAAATAGTATGCCAGGAACTGAACACAGGAGCACCAACACTAATTCTATTGTTTGGAATTATGGCAACAGGAATGGTTCTACATGGGGAATGGGGAAATAATGCTGGTTACATGTTAAGGCTCCATGTTCCAAGCTAGTTACTAGGCTTTTAATGGGAGCTGGTTTATGGTGGTTTCCCAGATCTGCAAATTGAATGTCCGGACCAAAGAAACCTGGGTGTGGCAAGAACCAGACTCCTACCCATCTGAGCCCCTCTTTGTGGCATCTCCTGACGCTGTTGAAGAAGATGATGGTAAGAGTGAAGGTCTAGGTATCAACACACTATAGAATTTAGTACGTTGACATTGCTTCAGGTTCAACAGCCAGCAGCCATATCACTCTGCAACTCACAACCGGCACTCTGTGTGGGTCCTAATGCCCCAATATAGTAAAAACTGCAATATACTATAAAATACTCCAATATACTGTAAAAAAATTACTGTTGTTTGGAAAAGACGTAAAACCGAGGTCCTGACTCTCTGAGGTCATTAAAAATTCCAGGGCATTTCTCGAAAAGAGTGGGGGTGTTACCCTGGCGTCCTGGACAAATTTCTCATTGGTCTTTACCAATCACGACCTCCTAATAATCCCCATCTATGAATTGGCTTCATCACTCTGCTCTCCACCCCACTGATAGCTGGTGTGTGGTGAGCGTTCTGGCACACTATGGCTGCTGTTGCATCATCCAGGTGGGGCTGCACATTGGTGGTGGAGTGGAGTCCCCATTACCTGTTAAGCTCTTTGAGTGGGAGCGTCCAGAAAAATGCTATGTAAGTGTAAGGAATTATTATCAATTCCATTCTAGGTACAAAAACAAACTGCCAATGTTTTCAAATTACTGTCTTCTTTTTACATGCAATAATTGTGGTTTTCCATACAGAAAACGAGGAACTTGACATTGCTCGACTAACTTTATTTTCACTGTATGTAAAAAGTGTCACGTTTGTAATCCTACCATAGAATACTATATTATGCAATACTAGTATGGAATGTAAAAAGGTGTGGTTGCTTATGTAAATAAAAATACTGAATATTTGTCTAAAGAGTACTTCTCTTCAGGCCTACCTAGTGTTAAAAATGTTTTTAAAAAAAGTGACGGGTGGGACTGCAGGAATCAGAACAGTGCCACAGGGCTGTGCTGTGGGTGATGCTCCTGTCTCTTTTCTGCTGCAGGGGTCCTGCTGACGATAGTGGTCAATCCTGGGGCGGCCCAGAGACCAGGATACCTCTTGATTTTGAATGCCAAGGACCTGACGGAAGTGGCCCGGGCTGAGGTGGAGGTCATCATTCCTGTCACGTTCCACGGAATGTACAAACCTTAGGATCGGTGCTGGCAGGATGAAGAATGAAATCATGACCGACCTTTATCTGCTTTGCACAAAGCTGGAAAAAAGCAGTCTTTTTGCTAACTACTAAGCCAGTGAATAAGCATCAGGCAGAAACAATTAAATATTAGCTTCATGAAAGAGCCTCTTTGCTACATAAGAGGAAGGACAGTTTTCCTGATTATATGCAATTATACTTACATTCTAATGCATTGACCATCACTGATGTCAGATTTACATTTTAATAACGGTTTGAGTTCAGATGGTGGGTTCTGCAGTCCTTCGAGTTTCCTTGGCCTTATTTGTGAATTGACTGTGTCCGAAGACAGTGTCACACTAGTGTCTCTCTTGAAGAGATAACTGTCTATTTCAACTCTTTATGTTACATGTAAGATGTGCGTTGTGGATAGAAACATAGAAAGCAATGTATTCAGAGAATTTTAAGAATAAACTTTCTTTCAAACTGTACTTTTTCTACTGTACATGTCATGCCTCGATTCAAAGTAGCAGATGATTATTAAATGGAGGACATGAAAGCAGTGGCCTAGATCTTCTTTTTTACCAAAGGCTAGATCTGGTGAATACAATGGCTACATGGAAGGGATTTAGTTGCAGTAAAAGGCAAATTAATTTAATTAAATTGTGCTTTCTGTTATTTCAATTCTAAATAAGCCAGTTCAGAATGACTACAATGCTTCTTCTATCCTCTCCAGCAAATAACAGGAGGAAGGGGTCATGCTGACTAAATCACATCCTCATTTCTTTTTTATCTTCTCTAAAATGCCCAATTGGTGCACTTCATAATTTTATTTTGTCACATATCTAGTCTTGTTAGTCTACAGCCTCAATGGTATGACCACACAGACACACCCTGGTTAAAGACAGTGTCCAGAAAAATGTGATCTGATTTTTTTTTATGACAAGAAAAACAAAGACACACCAAAAAATGTGACCTGATTTAATCAGAACAGAATATCCCAGAATTCTTTCTCCTTGGACAATGTTAACCGCAACAGAGAAGTCATGAATTTGTTATATACAGTTTATTTACTGAAGTAATTTTCAGGGGAGTATCTCAACAACCCCTTGTGGTATTACAATTAGATATCAGATTTCCATTCTCTACCACTAACACCTCCTTTGAATAAAACATTCTAAAAAAATAGGGTTAATCACAACATTTATCCTATTTAGTTTAGCAGTGTTGTACATTTATTAAAACTGATTTAGCAAAACAAATTAAAGAAATCTGAAGTCATTTTTGACTTTGCCTGAATGGATTTGACCTGTTGTATGTGACACTTCAGAAATAACTGAAAGGCAGGGATAAAATAAGCAGAAATAGCTAGTGTACCATGTGAGGAAGTTCTAATGCATATGCAATGGTCCATGCTAGACACCCATTGATGGTAATCACATAGGGTGACCAGAGCTGTACTTGGGACTATACAACTCCCTGTAATACTGCTTGAATTCAGAGCACCATACGAAATACACCTTATGTGTGCTTTATTTGTTGTTCTCCGGAAATGGCCTTTTCATTACAAATTAAAAAACAGATCAAACCTTCCCTGATCTGTGTATATAAAATTTCATGGGTTACCTAGATTATATAAACATTACATTAATCATGGAGAACACAAAGTCTGCAGCCATCTTAGAAAATCAGCCTTTTGTTTTAAAAGCACTGCACTGAAGTGCTGTTACATAGCAGCGTCACATTCGGAGAACAGGAGAGACCTCTCTCCCTCTTGAAATCTGATAGGTTTGCTGTTTAATGATCTGCAAACATTTGCTCAAAACCTGGAGAGAAAGAAACAAAATATAAGTGTGGGGAAGGATAAGGCTGTGAAAGATAGTATGCACACCATAGTCTCTCACAGTCTCTGTGACTGAGGATGGTAAATCCTAATTAATGTAATGTATGAAACAGCTGTGCAATGAGTTTATCAGTTAAATTAATGTTTTACTTTCCTGAACAGTTTGCATCACTGACTTCAAAGGCTTAAAAAATTTCTAGGGCATTCAAAATGAACTAAAATGCATCTAAAAAGCAGTTATGTCTCCATTGAGCTACTTTTTCAGCAACCTTAGTGGCTGTTGTCAAAATGGCATTTCATACTAAGCGTGTTAGTGTAGAAAGGGGAAACTGATTTGCTGAATTTCGTCACTTGACAAACGGATCGGTGCAAGGTACCAATTCAAGTTTACCTTCCTGGTATCCTGAGGCAGTATCACTCCATCATCCCAGACCCTCCCTGAGGAAAAGAATGCAGAACTCTCTTCTTCCAATCTAAAGAGGTGAAACAAGACTCTGAGAGAAGCAGGAGACAAACCCTTCTGCATTCTTCTGCAGCCTAAATACGTAATCTGTATGCAGTCTGGTCAGCTGCAGATTTAAAAGAATAATGAGCTGCTTATGTTCAGGTCTGGGAAGCACAAACACCACAAAAAGTAGGAAACCTAAATAAATCTATAATAAAACATGGTTTCTAATGGTTGATATTGTTTACCTTCAGCACTAACGAATTGGGTTTGGAAATACCTTTGAAATGAACCACCTGTGAGACAAATGAACTTGCATTTTAAATGCTGCTATAGTAGTCACACTGCTTTCTTGCAAAAAGATCATGTTACAGTAACTCTAGTCATTTTCTAGATTTCTGCTTGTTGTCATTTTTAACATTTCACCTAAATTAACATTTGATAATTTATGGTTAGTGCAAATCAGGCTGAATATAAGATTGTAAACAAGAGACCTATTATTGTAGATTGTAAACTCTAATGCACCTACTGTTGGTGGATGTTTGCCCCTTCCTCTTCAGGTACTTGCAAATGCTTAGGTCCCACAATCGACATCCTGGCATTGGGCCACAAGAACAGAAAGTTGGGCTCAAACGACCTGCCACACTACAAATAAAAAAGTCAATCGTCATTTGTCATTCCTGTTTTTCTCTGTTGAGTGAATGATTAAAGGATAATGGCACTACTGTGCTGGAAGGCTTTCTGCTCCAGTTCAAAATTTACTTCCCGTTCTTCTAATCCAAGTAAGCTCCAGCAGTGTAATGACCCAGTTTCACCTAGGCTGCCTTTTGCTTTATCTGCAAACTGAGAATTCAACTAACGACCTTTCAGAAACTGGAGAAAAGAAAGACAACAGTTTTGGAAACCACTCAGTTTACAATTTGTAGGACTGCTTCAAATCCTGGAGCGTTGTGTACCATAGCGTAACTTTCCACTCCGTGACAGCCTCCTACTACCACAGTTATCTTTGGAGTCGACGAACAGGCCAAAGCCGCCATCATGGAGCCCTGAGCCTTCAGTCTGTTGGTGTTGGACTCTGCCTGCACAAGTGAGGAAAGATTTTACTGCCACATCTGAAAATACATTCATCAGCGTGCAGTGCAACAAGAAGTCAAGTTCAAAACTCCTTGTCTGAAGACATCTTTTCCACTTTTCACTAAGTAGAGGTCAGAAAGCCATCAAGTAACATGTTTGCAATTGCTGGGTAAAAGTATTGATTTGATTCAAATCTAAGCTTTCTTCAGTATTACATGAGCTTGAAACTTAGCACGTTTGCACCTGTAGAAAATACCGACACCACTATTGCTGTCACATTCAAGGAAAAACTTGACTGGTAAAACTACCAGTAACTTACAGTACATGGTCCAATTTGTGGAAAAAAAACGTTCTGTTGTGTTCTCTCACTTTTTCAGTTGAGGAGATTATATTGTGTCGTCAACATTAGAGAGATATAATAAGACAGACAAATAATGCTAAATTCAAAAGACCTTTTAAATGATTAAATTAAAAATGTAGACTGCTGTGAACAATATAGAAGCACTCTTTGTAAAGATGACCTGGCTCACTGTTGTTCTTTTTCCTCACGAAGAAGTACCTGGGAGTCTGTCAGTGTCGGTGATGAATACGGAGGGGTATTTTGTAAGAATATAATTGGGATCTCTCGCTGATCACAGAGCTGCACAAAATGGCTGCCCTTGAGAGCTGCCTCATATGTCAGTTCGCCATTGCTCGCTACCATCCCAACTGGATGTCTGCGAAAAACACAAAAGAGGCATGTATAAGTCAACAGTGAGCTGTATGACAATTTAGAACGTTGCACTGTTCTTTTCTGAACTTATCTTAGTATTTCTCCCAAAATGTCCTCATCAGTCTCAACACTTATGCAAGCTGCGCTGTATACTGTGCCATCTGCCTGATGCAGCAGTTAAAAAAAACCTTTTTTGATGTAATAATAGTAATATATATTTTCCAAATAGTTAAAGAGCCTTGTGGTGGTGCAGATGCTCTCAGTTTTTTGTAGGTGCCATTGATATTACTCATACATAGGATTAACATTTCTTAAATTTATTTTGAAGGAGCTTAACTGCTGATACTGATAATAAATAATATTAGATTAGAAAAAAATGATTTTATCTCAAATCACTTTTTTCACATTATTGTCAAAGATAATCCAATTCCTTGGATGAGTTAAATTTTACTTGGCAAGTACTTTATTGTCCCCTTTTTCTGATCTAGAACAAGACAAAAACAAGTATTTGTTATCCTGTAAAGTCTGAAAATCCCCTCCCCAGTTTCCACCGCCTCAAACAAAACCCTTGAGCTTCTAGTACATTCTGCTGCCATGGCAACAGCAAAGTCTAAGACAGAAGCTCCTCATTAATATAAAAAGAAGTCTTTACGAAGACCAATGTCTCTTGAAGGGTTTAATCCTTACTAGATTAAAAACATCATTATTTTGTTTTTAATGTAATATACATTCTACTAAACGTGGAATACAATTCAATTGTAATACTATATGCACCTTCATGTAAAAGTTTACTGACAGAAAATCAGACCTTATTTCCATGGAGGATTAAAGTTCTTGCAAAAAAGAAGGTTAACAGAAAACATCAGGTGGTAGAAGGTTAAGAGTGCTGGACCCTACAACTGGGCTTTCAGTTCCAAGCCCTCAAATTGTTAACAAACTGTTGATATTACTAATTAACAAGTGAGGACTGCAGACCTAGCACTAAATACAGCAAGGAAGTGGACTATAAGGGATGCATTTTATGAAGGTCCTGCCCTAGATCACAGCTCTTCAGCTTCTGCATTTAATTACTTTATTTGTCTAATTTTCCTTTTAATTAATACAACCACTGGACTGTGTAACTAGGAAACTAGACTTGAGGACACTTGATTCCAAATCACCGGATATCCTGGGGACAGTTTGGAGAGAATATTCCATTTGGTGTGCAGGATTCAATGGGACTTGAAACTTCAAAAATCGAGTTTCAAAATCCAAAGTAGAGTCAAGATAAGAAATCCAGGTTCTTAGCCTCTTCTGTTTGTAACAGAACACAAGAGACATCCAAAGCTGGAGTCAGAACGAAGTCCAAAGAGAAACACAATGTAGGAAAGCAAAAAACAAATGTAATTTAAAAAAACTAATAGCATGTTTACTGTTAAGGTACATCAAAGATTTATGAAAGTTTCCTTCTGATGTGTCAAAATTAAATGCAAATTACAAAAGTGCGCTTTTTGTTACTGTGTAATTAATTATCAAAGATTATGGACTGGAAGTGCATTTAAAACTGTGAACAGAAGACATTTTACACAAGGGGTTGTGAGTGTCTAGAACAAGCTGCCCAGCCATGTTGTTGAAGCGATACCCTGGATTCTTTCACGAAACAGCTGCATAAGATCCTTACTTAATTAATCACCAAACGGGTGGAAACATGCATTTCCTTTGCTACCTCTGCAGGTCCAACTGAGGGCATGCATTTCTGAAACCTGGACTGGAGACCCCAATCCAATCCAATAACTTCAAGAATAGAAATTGTTCAGGTATTGACTCTAAAGTTGCAAACATGTATAAAAATTTGATGCTTCAGATTTCTTACCCTTCGATCTTTGCAAAACCAGTTACAAGCGTTGTCCCGTATCGTGCTTTGAATTCCTGAAATCTGCTTCCATCTGTCAGACGATTAAGGATCTGGGAAAAGGGAATGATAATATTCCCTCTGAGACCAGAAACCCATTAGTTTAACTGTGAAACTGATTTGAAATGTTGAAACTGATTGAAACTTTTTTAATGTTGATAGGTCAAGCATTAAAAAGAAACACAAGAAGGATTATGATGACAATACATATAAATTGGGAAATATGGAAATGCACATATTAAAGCATCTTCTGTTTCACTAACTATACTGGATTCCATAGACGGTGAAAAACAACCATCATAACAATAGAAATGAGAAAACAGACTGCTTACACCCTGAAAGACGTATGTCACATTTTATAGCTTCAATTTTATTGCTTCATTGTTGTTTCTGTAGTTAAAAAAGGTTTAAACATAGGATATGATAACAGTCTTATGGACATAGCCCACAGTATCTCCCTCACAAATGGCATGACATTATTAATCAATGTCAAATAGCCTCCATTTTCATATTTTAGATTACAAAATACAATTTTATACATATACAGTAGTCCTCAGCAGAAAATATTACTCACTTAAACATTCAAAAGGGTGAATTTTCTAAATGCCTTAATTGTGAATCACTTTTTCCCCGCAAGAGGTTGGCTTTCAGGAGTCATATTAATATCTCAGTGGGAGCCTAGGGATTTTGTCTCATAATCTGCATACATCTAATTTTATCTTGATTAAGTGTTCGAAAAACAATTCTGCGAATGTGTATAAAAAATGATTTTGTCTAAAAGCAGAAGCTAGACAACTGCCTGGCAGGCTCAACACGACTGGACAACCAGGGTATATGAAGTCCTTGTCCTGGCATGTTCTGTTCTCACCAGCTTGACATCCAGGCTGTGGGTGTAACTGCATGGCGCCAAGCTGTTCAGCTCTTCTCCACTGTGCAGTGGCTCATCCGTCTCCTCAGCCTCCTCTAGGGGGAGCTCAAAATTGAGGGTGGAGATGATGTTTCTGGCACACTCATACGCCTCCTTTTCCGTAGCAGCAAAGTGATCCACACAACCACTCACTCTGGAAAGAGGAACATGTACTTTAAGCCAGTAGATAGATGTGTTATCTCTAGGACTCACTGTAAATCCCAAAGCTTCTAAATTGTTTTCCAAACAACTAGCCTAACTGGATAGCCTCCAATGCATTATTTCATTAGCATTCAGAATTAGATTATTGTTTCCCTTGATATGAAACTACTGATTTCATCTGATTACAACATGGTGTATTTGGTTCCAATCTACAAAACCACACAGAAGAGAGGTCAAGTCGAATGCAAGGCTGGTTCTGGTCTGGAACGATGACTCTGTACAGCGATCTGCAGAATTTTTCTAATTCTTTAACTCATTACGTGTTTAAGCAATCAAGTTCAGATCTTGACAAACTGACAGTTACATACATCCTATTTAGGTAACTTTTTGTGAAAATTCTGTTATACATCTGAAATATTCGAATGTATTCCCTAATAACAAGCCCTGGAATGCAAAATCTCTCAAATCGCTCTAAATATAAAAAAAGGGGATTTTGTTTCACCTAGAGGATGATGTTTTGAGTAGGGAGGCTCAAACGAATGTTAAAAGAGAGTTTAAGGTGGATAAATTACTGTTTTAAGATAAAGTTGAGGGTGAAATAAGTAATGGTATGTATGGTGCATGAGTCAATGGTGGGAATGTAAAAGAATGGAGGCAGAAGCTTAGCACAAGCTGAAAATCAAATGCTGACTTTGCTGATGAATTAAATTAACTTTATCTTTGGTTTTAAAACATGATTTAAATCGTGAACTCAATGTTTTTAGAGGTAGGATCTCTAATTGTGCTATTAACATTGATGTTTTAAAGTCTCTAAGTTGCTAAGCCATGTTGAAGAGCGAAAGAGTCCAGGTCCTGATTCTGTTGGGGGTACAGTACTGAAAAGGCATGCTAGACAGCTGTGTGGCATTTTTACATTTTTGCCCAATTGTCACTGATTTAGCAAAACGTTCCTAGGATCCTAGTGGCAGAATTCAAATCCCCTAGTTCACTCAATGAATATATACCAGTAGCCCTCACGTCACTGGTAATGAAAACATCTGAACAGATTGTGAAAAATGAGATTGTGGCAAAGTACAAGTTAGATCTATTTCCGTTTGCTTATTAGAGCATGTATGGGCATAGAAGATGCTATCATACAGTATACCTTCTTAATCTTGAGGAATATAAAACTCATGCTAGGTTGCAGTTCGTGAATTTTTCCTCAGCATTTAATTGTATTCAACCTTAGGCAACTAAGCTATAGTCTAATTTTGGTCTTGATCTTAATCTCATTAGCAGTGTTAGTGATTTCCCTACAGACAGAACTCAGAGGGTAAGAGTTAGCAATGCTTTGACTATCTGTATTCTGCCACAGGTTTCCCCGTAGGAATGTGTATTGTCTCTCTTTCTCTTTGTTTTATATGTACATGACTGTAAGAATTATTTGATGTTGATTGTCTCTAAGACGAATGACATGAACATTTATTTCAGGAGGAAACCTCAGACCCCCACTCAAACCCTCTTCGAGGGAGTATCAGTGGAAATGGGAGACAAAAGTATTTAGGTACTTTTCTAGACTGCAATTTAAATTCTGTGGAAAATAATGATCTTCAAAAAAGGAAAACAGCATCTATTTTTAGGTTGATAGATAATTAATTGTTGATCATGTTTTATCAGTCTTTAGCTGAATCTGAGTTCACGTTTACCCTGATTTACTGGTTTGCGAATCTATATCTGAGGAGTAAGAACACACTGGGGAATCTTGTGAAGCTATGTTAGAAAGACAGTGGTGCTGATCTTTCGGACCTATCCCACATCTATCAGTTATGAGTTTTGCATGAAGCATATTCCATCCAAGAAGACCCTTGATGTCCTTTGTTTAAAGAATTCCAACTACTCCACTCAGAATGCAGATCTAGATTTCCCAATAAAAGGAGAAACAAGTTTAAGTTCTCACATTCATACCTGTAGCCATAACCCTGCTCAACAGATGATTCTCTTGTGTACGTTTATATGTATAGTTAATTAGTGTGTTTCTCCTTATATTGCTTTCTGCTGCAAAACAAATTAGCCCTTGGGTATAATAAACCCTCTACATCTTTCTTAGAGCAAGCCAAACAAGAAACAAGAAAAAGCTCACAGTCAAAATCTGACACCACCAGATAGTGTCCCAGAGACAGTCAACATGGTAATCAAATTGGTCATCTTAAGTAATGGAGGAATCACCTGAACAAATTATTTTTGTGCTCAGGTTTTATGTTTTTAGAGGCATGCCTGTTTGCAGGGCTATGTATTTTCTTTACAGGATGGCTACCGTTATGTCAGAGCTCTGTTTGCTCTATGAGAACCTCTGAGGATGTGCACAAATCTCTTACTCCGCATGAAGTCTAGCTCCTCCCAGCTCCTCCGGGGTCACTTCCTCTCCAGTAGCTGCTTTCACCAGAGGAGGTCCACCCAAGAATATTGTCCCAATTCTTTCCACCATTACAGTCTCCTCCGCCATGGTGGGGATATAGGCTCCGCCTGCTGTGCAGGAGCCACACACCACTGCCACCTAGAGGCCACACACCACAATGTCATGAATGCCGTCTGGGTTGTGTGCTGATGTTATTCAAAAGGTTCTATTTTTAAGCGAAACTAGTTCAAGTAGATAGCTGTGTCAGCATGCCTAGGCTGCAAGTAAAGGTTTATTCCACGCTAAAAAGAGAAGAAAAGAAACACAACATTTCGGCTGTGGAGCCTTCTTCAGGTGTCAACCGAAGAAGGCTCCACAGCCGAAACTTTCTCTTTTCAGCAGGAAATAAACCTTTACTTGCTCCTTATTTTTATGTTATACTTCTAACCAAAGTTAAAATAATCTGCTATGTGGCAAACCCCATGTTAATAGCTCTTTTGCTGTAATTTTCAAGTGTTCATAGGAAATTTGGGGTTATCTAGGAAACCACTAATCTTCAACAATTCAGAAGAAATCAGGACCTCAGGAGATTTTAATCATGTAATTTATACATGCTGCACATACCTTTTTAAGAGTCTACTCATGGTTCAATGTTGTAGCACTTCATACATTTAAGTGAACAAATATTTTAAATGTAACCATTTTTAAAAGCAATTTAGTGAAAAGCTTATTTTGTCTTTCTCTCATACCTGAGGGATCTTCATGGCTGACATGATTGCTTCATTGTAGAATATACGTCCTCCATGGTTTTTGTCTGGAAAAAGTTCAGCCTGTCAATGTAATTCAGAAAAGTCCCAGCGTTAGATTATGTGTCTCAACTCAGAGCAGCCGTTTCTCACTTTTTCACCTAATCTGCTGAGCAGTGAGTCTGGTTAACAGTATCTGCCAAACGTCACTCAGCTGGGTAGTGTAGAAAGTAAGGATGTTCTTTATATTAGTGAGCAAATGAAAGCAAAGAGTAAAATTAAGTATTTTCTTTCTGTAATCGTTGTTGCCCTTATTGGAACAATCACTTTTCTGTCTTGCTACTTTTTTAGAATAAAATTTTCTGGAGAAAAGTTTCAGTACTGGAAAAAACTTTTAAAACCTAGACATGAAATGTAGTATTCTCCTTAGCAACAGCCCCCAGAGTTGATATTTTAGAACACAAGAAAAGTATGTTTTAGTTATATTCCATAGACAAGCGATTGGTTGTCCAAACCTGGGAGATGCTAAGACATAAATCATTTTCTATTCAGCATTATTAAGAAACTGAATAAATACCTTATGCAAAGGAGCAAAAGCTGCCCTTTATGATGGCTGTCTGTAATCACACAGGAGAAACCTACAGTGATTATGGAAGTTGAGTCACTGCATAAGCCCTACCTGAAGAGGAAGGAATGCACCCCCACTGTCTACTAAATACACACAGGGCAGGCGGTTCTGAATGGCCACATCCTGGGCTCGTAGTTGCTTCTTCACAGAAATGGGGTAGGCTGTGCCACCCTTCACCGTGGCATCATTGACAATAAACACACACCACAGCCCACTGATTTTACCTATGCCTACCAAAGACATATGAGAAGGAAAGAAGTCAAATGAAACTCTATGCATGAATGTTAATAGAAAAACATATTTTAGATACTGGGGGCATGAAATGAATGATTAATGTGGAGGTCCAAGTCTGGTGTCCTGTCCAGGAGTGTGTAGTCACATCAGACATTTCATTTGTTGTGATTCATGGCAACTTGACATCACATCAAGTCCCGGAACCTCAGGGCAATGATCAATGATCAAGTCTTAGGCAAACCAGTAACCTCTTGACCTTTGGCCCCTGTCTGTGTTCAAGGTGGAAGACTAGCCAAGACACCCAGCTTAAAACCTGTGGGAAACATCCAATCCATGTCCAGCATCACCTTCTTTTAGCTTTTAATTTCAATTAATTTGAAGAGCATATCCACATTTAGCGACTTAAATCCCAAAACACACCTGCTTCTAACTACTTTTAGAACTACTTTTTTTTTGGCCATGGCCACATTTCAATGAGTATATCTTTATAAAATAAGAAAACTGTTATATCCAACAAAAAGGATGGCAGGTTCAAATCACAACAGGTCAAGCCCCACGTCAATATTATTTGGTTTTACAACAAACCAAGCAACTGTAGTTTGTCGACGTTGGTGCGTGCACCACAATACCAGCAGTTTTACCTTTACAAGATCAGCGGCATTCAGTCACGCATCACAGACAAGCACCTGTGTCCCTTACCTCCCAAATAGCAAAATGATCAAAAGGGGCTCTCCACAGAAAGAAAAAAAAATTCTGAGGGTACTCTTCTCCCTGAGACCATGCAAATGTGCAAATGTCCTTGAATCCCATAAATAATACATTTGACATGTAACAGTTGGATCTGGTGGCCCAGAGGTAGGAAGCCACCTCTAAGTTTAGGGCACTGTAAAGTACAATGAAGGTCACACATGTGCAAAATAATGGAACTGTACCCGATATACATCCGGCTGAGGGCACATCCCCATAGGGCATTCCCAGGCCAGCGAAGGGAGACAGCTCCAGGTAATCCTCGTCGTCCAGCAGTAGCCTGAGCCTCTCCCGGACAAACAGCTTCTTGTTCCTCTGCGTGTGCCTCACAATCGCACTCTCGCCACCTCCCTTTCGCACCTTCTCCATGCACTCCCAATACCTGGAGAAGACAACCTGTTTGTGTGCTTCACCATGTCTCCCCCACAGCTGGCTCACTGTCTCAGGCAGGGGCGGCAGAATTTACGGCCACCTTTAATGAGTCAGTTATTAAAAACTTGAAACAAGTCTGTTTTGAGCACATAAGAGAGTGCTTATTGAATTAAGCCGTTTCGCAAAAACGAATGTCCCAATGTCTTGGGCTAAATGCAAACGGGAAGGGCTTTTAAAACTGAGAACAAGAGGTACTGCTTTACCCAATGATGCCAACAAGCTACCCAGCCATGTTTTTGAAGCCGATAACCTGGTTTTGTTTAAGAAACACCTGGATGATATACTTGGATTGCTTAGCTACTATTTACAAAACAGGCTAGATAGGTTGAACGGCCTCCTCCACTGTTCTTACAGTCTAATTTAACCAATTACTAATCTACTTTGATCTATTCAATTGGTCTTGATGATTGATGATTGATGATTGATGATTGATGATTGATGATTGATGATTGATGATTGATGATTAAAAGGCGGCCTGTAAGTAGGATTGCTAGATTTGTTCATTTGTATAACTGAACTTAGTCTGCTGTCTTGTCACGGCTCACGATGCTACACTGTCATTAATGAAGAGGTGTTGGAGGCCATAACCTGTGTACAAACCTAAAGAAATTACAAAAATGCAAACTTAATATGAGACTTCTGTAAAAAAATCTACAACTGGAAGGTAGGAGGGGGATTATTAGGGGTGTAACCTCGGCATCCTGGCCAAATTCCCATTGGCCTTTACCAATCATGGCCTCCTAATAATTCCAATCTATGAATTGACTTCATTACTCTGCTCTCCTCCCCACTGATAGCTGACACTGATGTGTGGTGAATGTTCTGGTGCACAATGGCTGCCGTCGCATCATCCAGGTGGGGCTGCACATTGGTGGTGGTGGAGGGGAGTCCCCATTACCTGTAAAGCGCTTTGAGTGGAGTGTCCAGAAAAGCGCTATATAAGTGTGAGCAATTATTATTATTATTAGGAAGTCTCCAATCACACATATTTTCTTGAACTTCGTCATAATAAACAGCGTCATTTTTTTTACAAGAGGGCTTATTGCTCCTGATAGTGTCAAATATATCATACATTTTACCTTAAACTTTAGTTTAAGAATTGTAGATATGCACGTGCTTTCAAAGAAAATTTGAATCATTGCAAACTATGTGAATTACTTCTGCCTGGATGGTAGATAATACTGCCAACAGGACAATACCCACATCTCTAAAGAACCGAACAGTCTGGTAGAAAACTGAACATCTGGGATATCTACTAATAAGAGCAGCTGAACTGTAGTTCCTTTCTTGGTCATTGTTAAAACACTGTCATATATAAGCCATCTCCAGTATTGTACCATAATACAGTAAATGTAATTAAACTGATGTAATAAGTATTTCATTGCACTTATGCATATGACAAATAAACTGAACTAATTAAACTGATGATTACTGAACACTCTTAAGTACCCATAATCTAAGTACAGTATGCAATATGTTAAGGGTAATGTCATGGAAATTGTTTCGGCATAAGCTTTAAGTCAGTGGTTCCTAAATATGGTCTGAATACATAATAAAAATAAATCACAAGTCTAGGTTAACATGCAGATCAATTAACGGCATCATCTAGCACTGGCAATTTAGAGTGCTGCTGATTTTTTTTTTTACAGAGACAGCTGTCCTCCAGGACCAGAATTAGGAATCACAGCTTCCAAAGGTTGTCATGCAGCAATGTTGATACAGTATATACACTGATTGGCCAATTTATTAGGTTGAATATTGGTCTCCATTTCCACTCAGAACTTTCTGAATTCGCCAGGGCATGGACTCAACAAGGTGTTGAATGTGCAGGCTAGCAATATGTCCCATAGCTGCTGGAAACTAGTTGGTGGTGGATCTCTACTCCAAATAGCACGTTCCATCTCATTCCACAGATGCTCGACTGGATTGGTACCTGGTGACTGGCCACAGCATTAAACTGAATCCACTGTCATGTTGAGGGAATCAGTCCAGGACTTTCGTAGCCTTGTGGCATGGAGCTTATTCAGCTGTAAAAGCCCACTTGTATGAAGAGACCCAAAGTGAGCCACCAAAACACACCCCACACCATCACACTGCAACCACCATCAGCCTGCCTTGTGGACACAGACAGGACGGATCCATGGATTAATGGAATTTATGTGATATTTTGGTCTTCCCATCTACAGAACCAGGATTCAATGTTTTTCCAATTCTCCAGTGTCCATTGTTTGTGTTCTTTAGCCCACTTTTTTGTTTTTTACCGACAGGCTTGAAACTTGCTTGGGTCATTGGCTGTCATACCCCATCCATGACAAGGTACGAGTTGTGCATTCCAATATGCCTCTTTCAGCACCACTGTTGTACTCAGCTGTTAGTTGGCTGACTGTAGCAAATCTCTATCTGTTACTCTGTATGAGACTCTGCCAGCTTTCTGCCAGCCCCTTTCATCAACAGTCTGTTTCAGACCACAGGAGAACCACCATTAACTGGATGTTGTTTGCGTGGTGGAACATTGTCGATACAGCCGTGACACTGTCATGTGTGACCCCAGCAGGGTAGCTGTTCCAGTTGCATCTGGCGCCCGCTATGATGCGTTCATAATCACTTCTATTGTCTTACTGATTCTACCTCTGAATTGCACACAGGCAATCTTGTGGGTACAAGCCTACTTGGTACCTATACTGGTACTTTAAAGCAGGTACCTGCCTACGTGCTTTAAACAGCACTATCTGCACATACAGTATGATGCTGTCTCTGATTAAGCAGGTGTCCCTAACAAACTGGCCACTCAGTATATATTTGCTCAGCAAACCTTGACTCGTCACAGCAGATGTAAAAGCCACTTCTGATCTCAATTTACTTTTTTCTTTTGAAAATGTACATTTACTGCTATCGTGCAACGACAGGCAGTTGCGACAATTTCTCGGAGCTTACCTTTGGTGACAGACTGCGCTATTGCGCAAATTTGCTTCGCATACATGTCTATAGATTGGGTGAATAGTACCGTCTAAAACAGGAAATATACTAGGCAGTCGTCTTCTTCTCGAGTCACTGCTCAGGAAACGATTTGAAAGCTGTTGGTCTCGCCTTTGAGCGGCCGGTGTGAAAGGCTGCACATCGGGGTTCGACACTGCGCAGGTGTGTGCACAACCCAGGCACCACCTGCGCGTTCTTACGCGTTTGCTGACCACACTGGTCCGTAGTTTGGGGGATACTGTCTGCAAACAACTGAAAACCGACTCCGCCCTGAGAAAATAAATGAAAAATAAACTTATGAATAACTGTGTTGCTGTGTTCACACCTACTGATTTTTAAATGCACATTGTTAAGTACAAAGGAGTGTTTTTAAAAAATATTTCAAATATCATGAATTTAAAATAGTCTACTAATGATGGATGATTGCTTTTATTTTTTGACATGTTTGTCACTGATTACTTCTAAGTTCGCGAATCCAAAGGTCACAGTTTGTATTTGCTCCGCCGCAAACGATATGAGAATAATGTTGTCGAAATGGCAGGGATTTAAAATATCTCGAGATGTATTCTTGTTGCAAATCTCAATTGATACATACCTTACTATGCATTTGTACATTTTTTTTTTTGCAGTAGTGGTGTCGCTACTATCGTACTGTACTTACAAAACAAATTAGCAGTCTACCTTTTGTGTTACACCAATAACAGACCGGCTGGAAACAAGGTTTTAAAACTACAGTATGAGGCCAGAATAGAACAAACGGAATCGTTTAGATGCTACTCTTTGCCTTTTAAAACTGTTCTTTAAGCACCAAAAAGTATTTACAAACTACGTAAATTTACTGTACACCGATATGTTGTTTTCTCTGACGTGAAACAATATCCCCCGCCATACTGTTCAAAATCGGACGTTTTCTTTGCTAATTTATGTGGTAGGGGTAAACTATTCTTTGCTGTTACAGGTTAGATTTACTTTTTGCTTTCGAAAATTGAAGCTCAGTAAAGAGATAACTCAGAAAAGCAGGACATTCAGTCCTTAGTTGTTGTTTTTTTACATTCTTACTTCTTTACATCCTATTTACTAAGTTTTCATTGTACTCATATTTGACAATTCCACCTTTTTGTTAGAGCATACATCAATAGGGGAAGCATGAATTAACCTATGGTCATACCCAGTCAAGTATCAATAATTGTAATGGAGACCCTTTTCCCAACATTAATGTTTCCTCATCTCTGCCTCCAGCCCCACCATCACCCTTACAGCAGCACCTTTGCTCATTCCACCTTGAGGGGGTTCAATTAGTGCATCCCCATGACCAGGCATCTCATTTTCTCTGCCTGATGGGTTAAAGTAAAATTGCAGTTTCAAATTATGGAGTCAATTCAGGTTTAAATACAGGAAATTAGAGTTCAACTAGAAGAAAAAAAAATATTAGTGCACAATGAATTCGCAAGAAGCTCGATTGGGAAACCTGGGCCTGGACAGCATATGTCACCAGAAATCACAGTTCTGGGATATGTGCACATGAAAATGTGATCATGAAAATTAATTGGGATTATAAGAGGGTATATAGGCATTTGTAGAAGCCACTGAGAAATGGTTCCAGAGACAGCGAGCCATGGTGTAATTTCCTGTTCAAAAGAAGCTATCACTTGCTTACAAACATCCTAGATTCCAATTCTTAAATAAGGGATCTCATCCCTTAAATAGAAGCATGGAAACCAAACTCCACTGAAAACAAAGCAGAAAATGAAGTTTGTAGCAGAAAATCAATTAACCACACAGCTTCGGATTCAGTGGAAGGAAAATGCTGTATGAAACCGCTGCACATTTCAGCCAGTCTGACTACAGTTATCTTATCTGTGGTGTGGTAACGCAAGGCTGTCAGATGTCCAGCTGTAGTGCACTCCAGCACAGGATTTTACTGAACCAGCGGAAATCTGCGAGTCAGTCTGTCTTCTGCGGTGCAGCATGGGATTTGTGACAGTGGATGATCTGAGAATGATAGGTTGTGAAGGAGCTGTGATGTCTGCCTGATGAGTCAAGGATGTGTAATTCTGTCTGTTCTCAAATGGCCAAATGAACAGCAAGAACGCATTTTCATAGATGATGTTTAGTAGAATGGGCAGCACATTAGCTCAATGGATTGCATTGCCACCTCACAGTGCTGGGACCCTGGATTCAATTCTAGACCTGGAGGTCTATCTCTGTGGAATGTATATGTTCACCCTGTGTGCAGGTGGGTTTCCTCCTACACTCCAAGGACAAACTGGTTGATTAATTGGATTCGGGGAAAATTTGCCCTGGTTTGTGCGTTTCTGTCCTCTCTCCTCCAATGGACTGGTTTAGAAAAATATGTCAAATATAATTCATGTGTTTTTATTTGTGACTATAAATATATAGGTATATTGTATAAATCCAGTATTTTTTTATCGAAATTGATTTGTTCTTCAAGGTTAAGATGTCCCCAGATCCTCACTGACTTTTACAGATGCACTACAGAAAGCACACTGACAGGTTGCATCACAGTGTTGTATGGCAACTGCAGTATTGCTGACCGCAAAGCCCTACAGCAGGTGGTGAAAACTGCCCAGTCCATCACTGGGATTACCCTCCCATCTATACAGGACATTTATGACAGACGGTGCTTGAGGAAAGCTCTAAGCATCATCAAAGACCCCACACACCCCAGCTACAGACTGTATGACCCTCTACCATCTAGAAAGCGGTACCGGAGCATTTGGGCCCGGACTACCAGACTAAGAGACAGTTTTTAACCCCACACTATCAAACTATTAAACTCCCAGCCTCTCTCACTCTCACCTCACCTCTCACCTATGATATGAACCTCACAGTGCCTTCTTTCTTTCTTACCAAAAACTCACACATTGCAATCTACCTCTACCTTACATGTCAAAAAGCTCACTCCCCATCATTTCTATCCTTTTATTTCATTCTGTTGATGCATGTTTTTGCACATCTGATGTTGTTTTTGCACATTACCTGTTACCTTTCTGTTGTTTTGCACATTGCCTGTTGTCTCTGTCTTTCTTTTATTATACAATTGTATTGTTGTTGTTTTTTGTACTACATACCATCTGAGAGCTAGCTAAATAGCATTTCGTTATACCATATACCTGTATATGAGTATAATGACAATAAGCTTGAACTTGAAATTGAACTTGATTTAATTTGGAAACTGAATCTGATCTTCCAATGACTGCGTTGCACTTGTGCCCCTAGAGGGAGCTATTTATTCATTTCGCCAATTGCATATCCCTGGATACAGACAATGTCTTGCAGTACCATTTGAATGTGCTGTTTGCTGGCTCATCAATTGTCTAGGATGTACACAGCAGATAACTTTCCCTTTCTCTTTTTGACTTTTTGTCTTAAAAGTGATTAACATCCCTATTCTTTGTGCCACCATTCCTTGATCAGCACTTTCAGTGGGCAAATGTGGGTAGGGAGTGCAATCCTGTGAACTCAGAACTGATGCAATGGATTTTCTTGGAAAGAAAGATTAAGATAGAATTACAATCTCCCTGCATACACTGGATAGGGGTCGACCTTGGCTTCTTGGAGTTTAAAAGGGAACATATTTCTGGAATAAACTTTTAAGTGTGGTTATTGAGAACTTGTGTGTAGCACCTTTCTGGGAAAGAAGTGATGTGCTAGGCCACTATATTTCAAAATATAATTTGGTATTTGTTCCAGAAAAACAAGTTTACAGTAGTATTGCAAAACTATATAGGCGTGGTGGGGTCCATCTCCAAAGTTCACGTGTTACTGACTTGGCTGTGTGAAACACAGTAGTGAAGGTGATCTCTCACCAGATTTGTCAGCCTGCTGACTTGTCTATATTTTATATACTGTGGAAGGATTGAAGTACAATTCCCTGTTTTTTCATTAGGAGATAGCAAAGGCATTTGTGGTCATTTCAAATTAGTTATTAATTTAAAAAGATCTTGAATGAGTCTGTTACGTGCTGCACCAAGATTGCTTGGATTATTGAAAGGTATTAATGGTTTGGAGATGTTCCAGGAGCTTTGGTAATGACTATCTAGCATGTATGACGGCAATTACAATACAAGTGGACTGGATTCCATTGTACTTAATCAGCTGCAATTGTCAGTTGTCCATAAAAGTAAATAAAAGAGTAATCTGTTTAAAAGAATGTGAAAGAATAAATATATTGACTAAAAATGTGCTTATTGCATGCTGACTGACAGGATTGGACTGAGATAGAATCATTTTCCTGTTTTGGTGAAACTGTATTTTATCTGTGTGCTAGTGGATATGCATTTCCATGTGTAATTGTTCCAAAAAGTAGATTAGCTGATTGTGAAAGAAGATCTACATGTTGAGACTATTATTGAAACCTTTTCTGTCCTCTGAAGAAAAAATATATAATCTTGTTACACTCTTGTTACTCCTGTCTTGGAGGAGGATTTTATTCTTTGTCTGTGGGTGAGTGACTCCAGTTAACCTACATGACAGTTAACGTTACATGACAGCAGTGTGAAAGTGGTCAACACACAACATTGGAGGAAGAAAAGCAGCAGCTAACATTTGTCTTTGTGAGCTCCTACGTGGCAGCATTCAGGAAATGAAAAGGCTGGCTGAAGTCAGCTATTCCAAGAGCTTTCAGTCCCTGTGTCTGCAGCCAATGGAAAGATTTTCTGCTGTTTTGAAGCCACCCAGAAAACCACAGGAAAAGCCAGCCCTAAGCAGTCCAGGCTGATACAGGATACACATGATACACTGGCTTAATTCAATGGCACTTGAGATCAATCACAGATCAGGAATCTCACAGGCCAGGTGTGCTGAAGTAGTCACTTCTTGATCTGACTGTGTGGCATGAAGCTGTTGTCACAACACAGTGTGCACTGGGGATATAACCAGGTGAAATGTGCCCATCTTAGCTGGAAACATGTCACTACCAAACGTTTTACATTTGTACAGTAATCTTCATTATATATATATATGATCCGCTGTTAATGGCTGCAGGAATGGTGCCATGCATGAAGCATCAGTACTGCTGTGGTAACGCTTTCTGATGGTGGAGCAACTTTTGTTGGCTGTTTTCACCAGCAAAGTATTGATTGTATGTATAAAACACTGGAATACAATGTTAATTAATACGCTGTATGCTTTTTTAATTATTTTTTCAACAGTGAAAGTGAAATCTCTTTATTAAACCTTTAAAAAAGTATTTTAGACCCTAGTTTTTGTTCAAATGGGTTCCAAATGTCTCTAATCCCTAAAATTTCTGTGTATGATGTACATACATATACAGGTATATGATGTACCTATATATGTTTAACTTTTGTATATCAAATAATTACTTTTTAAATAATGTATACTAAATATTAAAAAGCATCACTTACACCTGCCTCAAAATCTTCTTGTAGTGGGTGCATTGCCATTTTATTGAATTGACATAAGTTCATTCATTATAATGATTTTATGTTATTAAAACAGGGGTCACAGTCTAGTACTGTGTGTGGTCACCACTGACAGCAATAAAAGCTGTGTGACATATGCTTTACACTCTTTTGCAGATGCTCTATTGTGGGTAATTTAATTAATTTAAAGCAAGTATTATCTTGAAATTTTAAAGCAAGTATTATCTTGAAATAATCTATGATTTGTGATCCATATGATTCAGTGCAGTTTGGTTTTCAGCAAACACTGTTACTACAAATTGACAGAAGTCATTTTTTGTCTATGGAAACCCATTCCAGTATTTTTCTTTGTCTGGAGATGGTCCTTTGTCTTTCTGCATCCTACTACCATTTCAGATGAGCCGTGGTAGTTCAGATGGAAGAAAGTCTAGCTCCTGACCGGAAGGTCCTGGGTTCAATCCCAGGTAGGGACAATCAATGTAGCTTACTCTAATTCCTTCCAGATGGCTCCCTGCTTTCCAGATGAGTACCGGGGTCTAATCCTTATGAGGGTAATAGGCTGGCTGGAATGTGATGCTGACCACCTCCAGTGTCCGATGGTTGAGAAAACCACTTTGTCCCCCATTCCCCATGGACCTTTATGGCCTGAAAAGGGGACCTAACCTACCTTCCTTTCAGTCCATGTGTGTGTACTACCATGTTTCATGGTACTTGAAAGGCAGACGCTATTGTACTTGAGAGGCAGATGCTAAATCTCAGATGACCATCATTATAAAGACAATATAAAAAAGAGTGAAAAACACGGGAAAAAGATTACATAAAACAATCATAATGTCTGCTTGTCAAAGTGTAAAACTACCAAATAACTATTTCTAGATCACAGTCAGAAAACTGTATATACTCTATTTTATTCCTTTGAACGAAAGATAATTGTTTGTTACTAATAATAGACTGAGACCTTTTGCCTACGTTAGTATGGCAACATGTAAACCTCCAAGTGGGTCATTTCAACTACACTATAATTGCTATGTATAATTGAATTTGACTGATTTTTGTTCCCAATGCTGTGGCTAGGAGAAAAGTCAGTGGTATGACGCCTCTGTTTTCATGCATTATTTTCTCATTTGTGCTGTTTATTGTATGCGCTTCACAAAAAATAATTAGCTTTTTCATACAGGTATTTACTTGCAATAATGACCTCCAGCACACTTCTCTATTACTGTTTCTAACAGGCGACACGGTCTTTTGTCTCCACTGAGATCAGATTAGTGTTACCACTCATGAATGCTGTTTGTATTAAGTTAAAATTATAGATTTTTATAGTTTCAGTGGCAAATATAGACTCCATGATTATTCAAAAATGTGTGTTTAGACTGCCTGATTTTATTGATGTTTTCAAGCGGTCATGTAGAGTTGCTTATCTGTTCTTGTTAAGATCTGCTATCTTACTAAGTTACTTGCATACACACTAAGCTATCCTTTAAGGAATACACCCAGTACCCAAGGCTAATCAGACAGGCAACATCCATCCTTTCTCAGGTTGTACAGTTTATTTATGATAAGGGAGGACAATTTGAGTGTGACATCACACTAAATAGATGATATCCTCATCTGTTCTTTACTCACATTGATCTGTTCAGAAATACCAGCATATTTGCAAAAAACAATCACAATCATAATCAAACAGAATGTGTTATATTACCATAGTTCATCGTAAGCTTAATCACAACTTCTTGCCATAGCCTCTAGATAACTTACCGACACTTCTACCCATCTCCCTATCCAACAGGACCCTACCACTGACAACCAAAAGGAAGTGGTATCCACCATCTCCCTTCTTATCAGCAGTAAGGAGCTCTCCCAGGAGGCAAACCGGCTCATCACTGAACATCCCCTGGTCAGTGGAGTCGTCATGGGCAGGAGAACGATTCTTCACTTCCTACACTGGTTTTGTCCCATTAACTCTACAAGCGAGACATTGATGACTGCGTTGGTGCTGCCACATGCGTTAACGACCAGCTTGAGCAATTTCTGCATCACTTCACCCACTTCCACCCATCTCTCAAATATACAGTTAACATATCTTCCACTACACTTGCATTTCTAGACATCAACTTCTCCATTAACTACCCCCGACTCTCTACAATGGTCTATTACAAACCCAATGATTCACACAACTATCTCCTGTATAGCTCATTTCACCCCAAACACACTCTCTCCCTTTTTCACAGTTCCTTCGCCTACGACAACTCTGCAGTGACAACATCGATTTCCAGAACCAAGCCCTCAAAATGTACTCTTTTTTAATCAACAGAGTATACCCTAACAGTGTTATTGACAGGACCCTTGTCCGAGCCAAAAACACCCCTCGGACCATCAACTTGAGCAGCAACTCCTGCCGTAACAACAGCATTCCTTTGGTGCTTCCCTACCACCTCAACACACTTTCTATCCCCAGGACTATTAATGACAACTTTTCCATCCTACAGGATGATCCCTCCATTGGTACCCTCTTTTCTGACCACCCCATCATCTCATATCGCCGACCACCTAATCACTGTATCCTTCTTGTTCACAGCTCCCTTGACCGCCCTCAGCAACTATCCACAGCAGGCACTTTCCCTCGCAACAGAGCTCGCTGTATCACCTGCAAGTACTGTACACATCTAGCATTCAAGGCCCCTCAGGACAATTCCAGATCACTCAGATGACATCTTGTACCTCCAGCAACTTTATTTACTGTATCTCTTGCAGTAAATGCCTAGCCATCTAAATTGGGGAAACAGGAAGGAGACACGGAGACCGCTTCAGAGAACATGTTAGGGCTGTGAAGATTAAAGATTTCTCCAAGCCTATTGTTTCTCATTTCACCTCTGACAGCCATGATCACACTGATCTCTCTGTGTTCTCAAAGATGGTTTTCCTAACTCCCACATCAGAAAGACTACAGAAACTAAAATTATCCTGTAGCTAGAATCACACCTTTCCCCTTCTCACAATGACAGACTCATTTTCTTCTAAATTCTCTCTATTCATTGTAAGTTTCATTTCACACCTCTCCTCACCTACCCTGACTTGAAACTACCTGAATGGCCACTCTCTGCCCCCTGTTCCTGCCCCTCCTCTCTCCCAGTTTTTGTTCTCCTATGCTACATTACCTCTGCTTGCTGCCCTGTCTTTTTCACACCTGAAGAAGGCTCCACAGCCAAAACGTGTTTTCTTTCTTCTCTTTTCAGCATGGAAAACAAAACTATTAGTTGTTCTTCTGCATACATTGTTGCTTTGCAAATGGCAAAGAGCAGCATCACACTCTATTCATTTGCTCACTAATGGGCAGTGCTACATATCATCCCAAATAACTGCCTGTTTCCAAATCTAATCCTCTATTATACCAAGTTAACCAAGTGAATATAGATCAGGAAGTCTTCTGTTTCATGTAAGGTAGTGAAAACAATAATTAACTAAACAAGAGGGACATCTATAAGGAAATAGGAGCCTAGGGGATATTCAACATGGGTTTAGAAAATGTAGATCTTGTGTCATTAACTTGTTACAGATTTTTGAATAAGGAACAACAGTAATGGGAGTGCCCAGAGCATACAATAAACCTGTACTGTACCAAAATTTTATACTCAGAAGGCATTTGATTGAATGTTCTCTTTAGTCTCATGGTTCGTGTTTCACTGTTGATTCAGAAGTCCAGTAGGCTGACCTTGTGAATGTCTTTAATGATTTTGAAAGTTGGAATCAGGTCCAGTGAAGTTTGTCCTTTTCAGGATTGAAAAGGTTAAGTTATTTTTACGGTTAGGATCTAATTGCAATTAGCTACCAGCAACAACTAAACAATATACGTGTGGGCAGAATGGCCTCTTCTGGTTTGTAACCTTATTTTATGATGTATCCCCCCTGCACACAACATTTGGTCGTTCGTGTCATTTTCGTAGCTTCCTGTTAAACCCCAATTTATTCCCTCTCCATTTAATGACAAAAAAATTAAAAGCTATCGTTCTTACAACCGAAGAAGGCTACACAGCCGAAACGTCGTTTCTTTCTTCTCTTCTCAGCATGGAATAAACCTATTACTTGTTCCTTTGTAGCCTACGCACGCTGACGCAGCTACCCACCTGAACTACATTCAAACCATGTCTTTGCACAGGATAACTACAGTACTCTTCCTGTCTTCTCAAAAAAGATAAAAGGAAAAAATGACGTATTTCCTTATTACTGTTAAGCAATATGTTATCTAACGATTACGATTACTACTGCTAACGACAACTGATAAACCATCAATTGGCTTTAACGATCAATCCGAAGAAACTCGGACCTCCCTTTCCCTGTGTCCTCCAAGATCCCAACTTCCTCTGCGAGCGGTGAATCAGACACACGGCTCCGCTGAGCTGGAGTAGAGCGAGGAGCGCTGAGGAAACGAGACGAGAAGAGGGCGCAGACGAGGCAGGCAGTGGGAGACTAGCTTGGGAGACTTTCAGCTGGGGGAACGAATTACAGTCTAGGAGGTTTGACACAAGAGGAGCAAACAGCAATGAGTTGGGGAACGGAGCTTTGGGTGAGTGTGTGAGGTTTTTTTTTTAACATGTTTTAGGTAGATTGCCTTTTTTCCCAGCTCGAGAAATGCCACTCGAGTGCACTGGGGCAGAGGTGCCTGCAATGCTTGCTGTGTACCGTGAATAGCACCGTGACAGTGCACGCAACGAGCACCTTTACCTAGGACACCGTAAACAATAGGCGATTCCAGGAAAATACGTTTCGCTGGCTGTTCGGGGGAAGAGGTTGTTTGATGTTTTGCGTGCTGTTTTATTAAACAAAAGAGGACTGCATCACGTATAGCATATCTGGCATGTGTGTCACGTTTTTTGAAAGAGTTTCTTTTTGTTCGGAATCCTGTCGCCGTCCAAAGGGCCATATTCACACCCAGATTCGTACAGAAAGGGGGTGGAGGCTCTCGCTTATTTTCATAAACCTATTCTTCGGACGTTGTCCGGAATAGATGGAAGACAGTATGCGTTCACGTTGCTTATAAGTGCCTTAACTACGTGTCGTTAACTGTGTTCTATTGTGTGTTTTGGCGATTCGTTGAACTATCGTTTGGTAGGTGATTCGATTGCGCAAGGATGATACAACAATGCATTGCTGGAGCCTTGAGAGCAAACACTTCGTTAACACTATAACAACTAGCAGTCTTACCAACACAATGGGTGAACATCAGACACATGTGTTTCCGATGTGTTCATGTGGATTTCCAGCCTTATCCCACTGCTCCCAGATTAGGTAACGCATTTGAGCTAATGAGCATTGTCCTGTCTGATACGGATGGATGGTATTGGAATAAGACCCTCCCAAAAAAAACAAAATACTCCACCAGCTACAAAGTTGTTGCTTTCGAGGCGTTTTGTGATCCCCTCTTTTCATGATGAAGAACGGGTTTTTTTTGTTCGCCTTCCTGGATCGTCGGGGGGAAAATACTGAGAACGGTCTGAATAAGGTTATGGTTGGGGTGTTGCCCACAAACGATCCCCAGTTCAGGTTCATAATATCCTTACCTGACATTTGCTCAGAAGACTGTATCGATTTTGTCGCAAAGTAACATGAGAATAGAAACATATTAGAACATGCTAGTGAAGGAGGCAAGCGGTTGCAGACCTAATGGTGTTAAAAGACTTGTGTTAGGATTCATTAGGTTTAAAAGACGTCTGTTGTAAGGAGTCGTTTTCTTCACACCCCGGTGGCATTGCAACTGTGGCGATCCATTGTAATTGGTATTAGATTGAGGGGAAATTGTAGCACCTTCATTCATGTATTTTGGATGTAGTTGGTTTGGAACGCAAGCGAGTGGTTTGCTACAGTTAGTGGAAAAACCCTCTAGCACTGTATTATTAATTCCTTAGACATTTTTGAGACTAGCAAATTGCATGCCTTTATCTCCGCATCCACTAATGAACCTTCTCTTTAGTGAGTCCTGCTCTCTGGAATGATGACAAAAGAATTCCGAACGACTTCTGGTATACTTAAGCTTAACATTTGTTTTCCATGGGAATCTTAGCTTTCTATTTATCATTTGACTTGAGCCATTCCTGAAAAGTACTTGAACTGAATGAAACCAGAAAATGCTGTGCAGATGCTTCTTGAATTCTGAGGTTAAAGGTGTGTGTGGTGGTGGGTGGGTTCTGGGTTTTGTAGTTTTGTCATTTTCACTTTAAGAAAAAGACACAAAAAAGCAAAACAGGTTAAAACGGAACGTCTGGTCTGTTTTCCAGAAAACAACTTTTTCATTTTGCCAGGGCTAGCAGATCTTGTTTTTGATCTTGGAGCTGTGAATAATAAACCTGTGATGAAAGCCCACTGGCTTCATGTGTTCTACAAATAGATTTTGCAGGCACGGGGGAAACAGCAGCAAGCGAGCATACTGAAAAGAAAGAACCGAAATGGGGGAAAAAAACTGGAAATTCAGAGATCAAGTTAGCTTTCTGCTGTATCAGGTTCAAAGCAGCTCCAGGAGATGTTCTTCAAAGTGGTGTAATTTCTTTAACAGGCGTATGTAATGCTGCAGGCTTATAGTAAGATGAAGAGTTTTCTTTCACAGACTTGCATCCCATGGCAGTTGCAGGTTAAGGAAGCACATTGCACTTCTTGAGTTTTAGCTCTGTTTTAAAGGTAGGCTAACTGTGCCATTCCTTTCTCCAGGAAAGCAGAGCTTGTGGCTTTAGGATAGAGCACAGACATTTCTAGGTGTCCTCTTGTACGGACTGGAACAGTACCTACCTAGTGAGCGAATGAACATGAGGTCCCACACCTAGTTGAATCCAAAGCCAGCTCCATGCTCGTCAAGATGTTTGGGGAGCAGCATTATTTGTTTAAAGCAGGTGTTGCACAGCACTGGAGACAACACGCAAAGGAGGAGAGTGTGTTCAGCCACAGAATGCAGTGAAAAGTTAACTTGCAGCATTTGAAGTTTAAGCATAAACTGAAAAAAAATGTCCTGCAAATAACGAAGTGTGAAAAGGCATGACCATTCTGTGACATAAATTCTAAAACATTTTACACATCATATAACAATGCTATTAGACTATTAAATGCTATTAAATGCTATTAAAAGAAAAGTTACAATGTTAGGGCACCAACTGGGAACTGCTGATCTTCCATTGAACGGTATTTTTTTAGTAAAGTAATTTTTCATAGGTGGCGCAGTGGTTAGCATCGCTGTCTCATGTGGTAGCTCAGTGGCCCTTGGTTCAGTTTCAGACCTGGGGTGCTATCTGTGTGGGGTTTGTATGTTCTCCCGTTGTTCAATTTCTTCTGGGTGCTCCAGTTTCCTCCCACAGTCCAAAGAAATACATAGATTAATAGGCTCTTGGGAAAATTTGCCCTAGGTGCAAGTGTGTGCATATCTCCATTTGTCTGCCCTGCAATGGAATGGTATCCTGTCCAGTGTGTTCCCTGCCCTGTGCCTGTGTTGTGCCAGGAGAGGCTCTGGCTCCCTTGCGACCCTGAATTTGAAGTAAATGGATGGATTTCTTTAACGGTCAAACCATCTTTCAAATTCTATACTCTAATGTACAGTACACCCAATCAAATTGCATATGAACAATATTACTCGGAAATTAGCCTTTTCAGAATTTTGTGTGTCGTCATTTGTTTTAAGAAAAGATCACTTTATGGGCCATATACAATTTCTTGTCTTAGGAATTTGTCTTTTTCACACACCCCAGCTTGCTCTCCATCAGTCACACAGACAGGGAGAGAAGCTTGGGGTCGGAGACAGGGTCAGCCATTTATACGGTGCCCCTGGAGCAGTTGGGGTTAAGGGCCTAGCTCAGGGGCCCAACAGAGTAGGATTCCTCTGCCGGCCGTGGGATACGAACCGGCAACCTTCCTGCCACAAGCACAGATGCTTAGTCACAGAACCTATGTCCCATCATCCACGCATATTACACTTAATGTTATGCTTATGCATTAAAATGGCGATAACTTCATTTTTACTGCTATTTTGCAGTCTGAAAACACCCTTTTTTATTGCGGGGGGGGGGTCTGTTCACTTGTGAAATGTGATTGAGAATTTTGTGTTTCTGAGTAGCGTCAATAGTGGAAATGATTTGTTAGATTCCAGGTTCAGCCTCCTATTCCAGCCAGCACCAGTTCAAGCTGGTGAGGTGTCGTTCACTGGGTCAAATAGAGCACTATTGACAAAGCGCTGCCCATGTTGAGCGGGTATGCTCATCTGCCCTCATCTGTAGCTACCCCCATGACCTATCGTGGTCCGACAGTCTTTACTCTGTTGTCGGTTGAGAATTGCATTAGCTGCCCTCCATTTTGATTCTAACTCTGCTGGAGTCTCTGCGGGACTCGCAGATTGAAAAATGGCGGATACCACTGGGGCCCTTTAATGTGGAAGCATTTGTGGTCCTTATTCACTTACGAGGGTGTTAGTTGTGATTAGTGTTTCCACACTGGGGGGCATTTGGGCAGGTGAGCTGTATAAGAGTATCATTTCTAATATATCTGGTAAAAGTATCATTATAAATGTTAAGTAATCCCCTTTAATACATATTTTATAATAGTATTTTTTTTTAACTGGCATACGGTCCGAAAAACGTTTGAATTCTGCCTGTGAAAATCTGTTTTGTACATTAAAAAATGGGTCTTCCAGGGTCACCCTTAGATGACATCTGTTTAGCTGGACAAATAAAAAAAAAAAACCTTGAAGGATCCTAGGAAATCTGCTTCTGGTATGTTTTGGGCCTTGTTTCGGTGTTGATACTTGAGCAGTCTTTCAGGAACTATTGTGCTAATAATTGTGATAGGAATTTAAGAAATAATGGATATGAATTGCAGCATTAGTATGTTCACTGCAGTGTTTAAATTGGCCAGCCCTGAGCAACTGACTGCTCAGCCTGGACAGTGGTGGGGATTAGTGCTTTCCAGCAATTCCTCTCAGATCCTTGGGATTATCTAGCTAATCGTCTGGGTGCGGGCACAAAGCTTTTCTCTTTGACGGTGTACTGAGCAAACATTCCTTGTATTTTTGTGTTAATGATTGGAGACTGAAGTCTTGCATGTGATGTCAGAATCATTGCTCAGCACTGTGAAGCACAGTAGTTGCACACTAACTATAATTTCATTTCGTGTTGCATCATGGTAAAAAATAAGTGGAAACTTGTGTAATTTCATTACTACACTGTAGTGAGATAATTCTGTCTGGTTTAAGGTACAGTACCTATTAAACATGATTATTGTATTTCCTGTGACGTGCAAGACCAGATTTAGATCGGTACATAAAGCTTACAGATGAATCTGTGCACATGGTGACTCAACAGACTCATCGCACACTGGACAGATTTGGCTCCAGCAGCTCTTTTGGTTGGGAATGTGGTTTGAATCCTGTGAACCATTTTTTCAAATGGACAAACTGATAGAAAAAGCCTGATTCATATTTTGTGCTGGAACCGTTTTCTTGTAGTTGGCTGATAGTTCATTAGCCTTTGAATTGGTAGTCTCCGTTAAGATGAAGACTCTCAAATCACTGCAGTGTGTGATGTGGAAGAGCATTGA